TTTTATTTTATAAAAAGCGGCTTTAATATTAATTTTAATAAATTATTTAGTTTTTTAAAAAGGAGCATAAAATTTCCCTAATAAAAAAAATAGCGGTTTTTTTTATAATAGCGTTTAAAGCTCGGTAATTTATATAAAAATAAAAACCTCCTCCGGGTTTTTTTATAAAAAATACGGGGGCTCCTCCGGAAAAATTACTAGCCCTAATTTAGTTTTTATTTAAATAATTAATAAATATTTTTTTAAAAACGAATAATTTATTTTTGGATATACCGTATAAAGGGCTTTATAAAATTTCCCGAATTTTGCTTTATTTATTTTTAAATAGGGTAATCGTATAATTTATTTTGGGTCGATAAGGTGGGAGCTTTGCTTATTTATTATTTATAAATAAAAGAGCGTAATATTTAAGCTAAAAAAATAATATATCGGTTATTTCGGAAAAGGTCGTTTTTTTTTTAATTTTTAGCGCTCGATTAATATTTGCTATTATAACGGCAAAAATCTAAATAATTTTAATTATTTTTTTAGAATTTTTACGCGTTTTACGCATTTTTGCTATATAAATAATATTTATAATTATTTATGCATTTTTTATATATTACGTTTTATTTTTTATTAATTTAAATGCTTTATTTTCGTATTAGCCTTTTTTACGGATAAAAAAAACCGTGCCTTTTAATACTAAATTTAAATGTTTTTTTCCTAAATAAATATATTATATCGTTATTTTTTATTTAGGGTTTTCTTAATATAATATTATAAGCTAAATTAAAAATAACGTATTTTATTATTTTTTTTTTCCGTCCGTCGATATTTATTTAGTAAATAGCGATTTTTCGAATATATCGACGTTTTTTATCGTTTTTAGCAAGCCGGAGTTTTTTATTCCGGATTTAAGTGCGTTTAAATTCCTTTTTAATTATAAAAAATTTATTAAAAATAAAATAATAAAAGCATTTATTATCGATAAACGCGTTATAATAAAATAAATTATTAATAAATATATTTATTAAAAAAAATAATATATATATTATTTAAAATATTTAAAGCAGTAATTATAAGTTTTTTTTTTAAGTTTTAAAAGCGATTTTTTTTAAAGTTTAAGCATTTTCCGACGGTTTTTTATTTTTTTTAAAGTCCGAAATAATTTCGGCGTAGCTAATTCAAAGGTTAGGGTTAATAAAAAGGCCGTAAATAATATATTTTTAATAAAAATATTTAAATTATTTATATTTAAAATATAGTTTTTTTTTTAAAAAAAAATTAGATTTTTTGCTTATTATACTAAAGAGCTTAGGGTTTTTATTTATTCTCCGACGCCTTTTTGCCTATTTATATTATATTTATAATATTAATAACGGTAATAATAAATTATTATAAGTCGAATTTATTAATTTTTTTTATAATAATATCCTTTTTAGCGTTTATTCGATTTTATAAGGTTTTCTAAAAAAAAATAAAATAAAACGAAATAGCTTTAGCTTTTTTTAAAAACTAAATTTTTATATTTTTAGCTTTTTTACGCTTATTTTTTTATAAGGCATTTAAGCGATTAATTATTTTTTTAATTATATTTAATTATTAATTATAATTATCGTTAAATAAATTAAAAATAATTAAGCGGTTTTTTAGGCTTTAATTAATAGCGGAATTAAAAATAATAATTTTAATTACGTTTATTTAATTTAATTTTTTATTAAAACCGAGCTAATATTTAAAATTATTTAAAAAATCGGAAAATTTTTAATTTTCCTTTTATTTTATCCGAATTAGGCGATTACCTGCGATTTATTTAGTTTTTTTATTAATAAATTAATTTTCGATTTTTTTAAAAAACGTTTTTTATTTAAGCTATTTAAGATTAATACTAATAAATTATTACGTTACGCGAAAACGCTTATTTTTTAAAAAGGCTATTATAAAATTAAAGCAAATAAATTATTTATTGCCTAATAGGTAACGGTTTTTTATTATTTTTATTTTTGCTATAATAAGGAAAAATTTAAAAAATTTTATTTTTCCGTCTTAAAAAGGCTATTTAGCGGCTTTATAATAATTAAAAGCGTTATTATAAAAGGCTTAAGCCGCATTTTCGGGGTCGGAACCTTTTATAATATCGTATATTAAAAGAAAAAGCGAAGGGTTATCGAAAAAGGGAAATTTTAAAACGATTTCGTATTTACTAAAATTTTCGGATATTACGCTATTAAAAATAAAAAATAGCATTAAAAACTTTATAAGCACCCTATTAATTTATATAAAATTGCAAAAATAAAGCTAATTTATATATAATAAGCTTATTAAATACGTATAATTACGCAATTATAGCTAAATATAATTTATAAATTAGCTTAAATAAAAAGCAGCTATTTCCTATACGCAAATTCTATCGTAACCTATTTAGGCACCGGATCAACTATATATCCGGTGCCGAAAATCGGGTGCACCCGTAATAATAAAAGTAGTATTTCGACTATACTTGCTGCGACGACCAATCCTGTTTGTAGGCAGAGTATCGTTTGGGTAGCACAAGATACAAGGGTCTCAGATGTGACATCTGCACCCACGAGCTCTGGTGTCTCCTTGGCAGGCAATGGCAGCTCAGCTTCTCCCATCTGCAAGGCGCGATCTAGGGTGACATGAAATCCTAAATCCTAAATCATAAATAAAGAAGAAAAAAAAAAAATACTTGCGCGACTTCTTTGTGACGATGGAAGCAATATCCGCTGTGAGAAAGGGAGCGCAAATAGGCGCATTCCTGAGTCAGATTCGGGAAAAGAAATCTCATGTTAATTTGAGAGAAGGAGAGACACGGCTGAGCAGAGGAGGCGCCACGCTGGCCCAAAAGCCCAGCCATATCGTTTATGTTGTGCTCTCGCCTAGTGTAAATTATCATGTACCTTGACTTTTCTTTTTCTCCTCTTCTCTCCCCCATTTGCTACTGTAGTGAAAGGCGGCAGATCTCCCATACATACCCCAGCTGGGGATCGATCACCGTACTATCAGGGAGGGGGTAGCGATAAATGGGCAATCAATCTACCTTTTGGTCGCGCTTGAAATGAAAATGCCATCTCTCCTCGCTTGCGTTTGAATTATCGTCAAAATCATGCCGTGCTACCAAGGAGATCCCAAGTGGATGGAAAAAAAAAAAAAAAGATAAAGAAAGAAAGAAACAAATCAAAAATACATGGCCTAGTGTAGGTAAGTAGGGACATCGACATCAACGGCGCTCAAGTTCCGATCATTTGGAGATAGCAGCGGAAGCAGAGCAGCAGAGAGCAACGAGAGACACGGCCCAAGCTAAGCGCTACTCACCACCATAGCATACTAGTATAGGTAGGCAATGTAGGCACGGACAACGCAAAGCCAGCAGATCTGAAAGGGTAGATGATGGTACACACAAAGGTCTTTCTCATCATCGGGCGGCTTGTGTACAGTCGGACGACAGATACAGGCACCGTGGGCAAACGTGGTAGAAAGTGAATACGTATACGGTCTGGTCTGGCCTGAACTCTACTTTTGCTTTTTCTCACAGAATGAAAACCCATCCAACTCCACTCGCCGGGGAACTGCTCCCGTTGGAATTCTGTTTTTATTATTATTATTATTATCTCTTTGTTTCTGATGTCCCCTACTGTTCTCTTATCCAGGTAGTTTTGCTGGCTCCGAAAATTACGCTGATTCAATTCCGCAATGCCCAATTCTTCAAACGCGCGGGCTGTTTGTACTCTCACTCAGTGCAGATCTCCGAGCATCGCTAGTATAGTACGGCGGTCCGAGTCCACGAGAGTGGGAACATTGATGGCGAGAATAGCTACACGACACCTCGGCATCCAGACATAGCGCTCCGGTCCCAGGGATATATCATCAAGGTCAGGTTCGTGGCGGGCTGGAGGTGGCCTCTTCCTCCGCCTCGTGGGACTAAAGCAAGCATTCATCAAGCCTGATCCGGTGGAAGAAAACGCCCACCCCCAAAGAACATCTGGTCGTGTCAAGACTGTCATATCTGCGCTGTCAAATGCGTAAGTGTCTTTTGACATATCAGCGCTCGGCCAGACCTTTTCACTCGCCGTCGGCTCCGTTCGCGCGCCTCTGCATTTTCGAAACCTGCTGAACAAAACGCCTGTCGCCAAACCATGATGATATATTGATCGCAGGCGCCCGACTGAAAATTTTCCCGGCTGGACCACCCGCGGTGTCTCGACGGCTGGACCATATTTCAAAAGATGTCGACACCTGAGCAGCTACTTGCCCAATATGAGGGGCAAATAGTTCCACGCTCTTTCAACGCTGGCTTTGTGGCACTGAGTTACGTGGTCTCCTTCATAGGTGCCGCCTCAACACTCGAGTTGATTAACCGTAGAACGTCTCGAAATGGACTGGTCAATCACTTGGTTTTATTGAGCGCCTCTATTACGATGGGAGGCATCGCGATTTGGTGCATGGTATGTAATTTCTCTATTCCGCTCTCTCCTCATGAGAAGGAGGAAAAAAAAAAATAAAAAAAAAACCTTGGAAAGCTAGAGGACACCAACTAACCTCGGCCAATGTAAAGCACTTCATTGGCAACCGAGCCATCGATCTTGCAGAGGGCGAGCCGGCGCTGCAGATTGTCTACTCTAGTGGTTTTACAGCCCTCTCGTTTTTCCTGCCGATTCTCGTCCTTCTCATGGCGTTCCTTGCAGTGGGAACGGACAAGGTCTCGTGGTGGCGTATCGTCGTCGGCGGCGCTCTAGCCGGAGGCGCCATATGCGGAATGCATTATGTCGGGAATGCGTCCATCAACAATTACACTTGCCTATACAGCACCGTCAATGTTGTCGGGGCAGCTCTGATTGCCGTGGCGGCCAGTATCGTATCGCTTGCCCTATTTTTCGCATTCAGACAAGCATGGACGACTTCGCGGTGGAAGCGTGGAATGTGCGCCATCGTCTTGGCCGGGGCCGTTTCTGGTATGCACTGGTGTGCTTCTACGGGCACACAATATCGCCTCATCCATCTGAACTCTGGAGGTAACCAGCTGTCGAGAAACATTACTGTCATTGTGGTTATATGCCTGTCTGTCGGTGCCGCCATCATCATGGCCAGTACCGCGATATACACGACCCATGTGATGCGCAACTCTGCCAGCAAGGCTCAGCAGGTCTTGTTAGCTGCCGCCGTTTTCGATTCCACTGGGCGTATCCTTGTCACTCCCGACGGATTGCTACCCAGTGAAAGCATCACCGAAACATACCTCGAGAAGACGCCCAGCGACCACTTCAGCATCGCACACCCACTTTTCCACTGGATGTTCCGTACCTCGAGGAACTGGAGCGGAATGAGCGACGTGATCAAGAGCATGAGTGCTCATATTAGTAATCTGCGCAAAGGGCGGCGTGATGGCAAGGTGCGCCTCATTGATGACAATGGTCAGCTCGTCGCAAACTACGACATCATCTTTCGTGAGCTCTTTTGTGTTGCAGCGTCGAATCTGGCAGACAGGATGAAGGAGCACATCAGTAATGTCGGCATACTCTGGGACGAGATCCTTCCCACTGGGACGGGTGTACCGAGACGGCAATTGCGCCAACCTGACGATGAGGCCCAGAATAGCCACAATGGGCGCGGGCCTTCGCTGGACGCCGACATTCTCGTGGAGAAAGGCGAGGGGTGGAGATCAAGACAGCAAGAATATGGTCGCGGATCCCTCATGTTTCTGGTCCGCCGGCTCGATAACTCACGAGCAGTCGAGGACCTCCAGGCTGCCAACTTCAGATTTGCAGAGATCAATCAGGTCTCCGGCATCATTGGCAGTAGCATGCAAATCAAGACACGCAATCTCAGCGAGAAGCTCAGGAATATGGCGACATATGCCGAAGAGAGCACCATGATGGAAGCTGGCGTACATCTATGCCTCTTCGGCCTGCGGGCACGCGTAGGCGGCCACGGGTTCGACGTTTTGGTTCAACGAGGAGCTCGCAACCTGCTTCCATCCATGCCGCTACCGTTGGACCACCTCGAGACATGGCAGGTGGAATTTATCCGACAGGTGAACCGGCTGAGCGTGCCACTGCTTTGTCAAAAGCTCGACGCCATGAGGCAGCTATCGCCTCGGCAGATGCTCTTCGCCTCACAACTCTATGACACGCTGACAGCGCTGCGAGCCTGGGTGGATGATGCAATATTCGATGAAGCCATACTCACATCCAAGTTGGTCAAGGTGCCTTGTCGGGCAGCGTCAGGCTCGGCTTCTGGATCAACATGCACGCTTGTTGCCTTGAGTGTGGTGATTCCAATCCACGTCAACCTGCAAAGCCCAAAGTGCGAGTTTGTGCCCTTGTCCTTTTTCAAGGCGCACCAGTTGGTGTATAGGGACTCACCACATCATGCTGCCTTTTCACAATCGGTACACCGGGACATTAGCCCGATTCTAAACGCCATTCCACCACCAGCTGTCAGGGACACTGCCCACAACAGGCTGCCGTCGCTTCTTGGCTTCAGGAAGACCAAACCGTCGAAAAAGAGACCGGCATGTGCCGTCGACGCGGATGGCAATCCCATCCCTACAGATATCGGAGCCAAGACCAACAATGGATCTGTCCACTCGGGCTCGATGAGCAAGCTCTGGGAGGGTCCTAGCAGCGATATGCCGAGCGAACCCCATGCGTCGTCGACTCGGGCAGCACTACAGCGCGCAGAGGCAGCCCCTCCAGTCAACAGCAGCTTTGGAGGCATCATGATTTCTCAAGAGATCAGCGTGGACGTCCGGGAAGCAAATGAAGAGGCCAGCGATGAGGCAAGCCGCTACACAATGCCAATGCGCGGTCAGCAGACCAAGTCCAACGAGCGGCCAGGGCCAAAATCGGGAGAGGGCAGCGGCGAAGTGCTGACAATTGTGAGCTCTGGGCACAAGAAGGCGGGCGCGACTAGCAGGTCGGATATCGAAATGAAATCCATGTCGGAGCCCCGGGAAGACATTCACAGCGGGGCGACGGCGACGGCTCGGTCCGCCATGGTCGAAAGCGGAAGGGCCGGAGAACCGGCCACGTTTGTGGACGAGCTGTTTGCAGTTTGCATGGACGGACGGTAGACAAGGACCATTTCTCCATTCGAGTCATGAGCTACCTAGTAGTACTCAGCTCAATAATTGTTGGACCACTATCTTGGGCAGCATTGAGACCGGCGCGGTGGCGGAGCTGCATATATTTTTTTTATTTTTTTTTCCCCTTCTGGGGTTTTTGGTGCATAGCTAAACTAAAAGGGAAGATAGGAGGGGATAGGGGTGGCGGTTTGGCGCTCGGACGGTGCACTTTTCCTTCTCTTCTTCCCCTCTGTTGGTAGAGACCGTACAGTATGATTACCCATGGCGTTGGTCTGCCCTCCTAGGCATGTTTTCAAACAGCAATGTTTGGCTATGGAATAGGGGCATTGTGTGATGTACTTTTATTTTCAAGACGAGATCAATATTTGAATCAAGCACTGGATCTGGTGGGGGCGATATTTGAGATGGCTTCTGCCCAACTGTATATCTCCTATCAAATGTACACAACTTATCCCTTTCCCTCCCCTTCCCGGTAGACGGCTTTTGTGAGATTTCCCCATGGCCTTGAACAAAAACACTATCAAAAAGCGGCTGAAATGACTAGTAGAATGCGGTCTGGAATCTTTTGGCATGTGAATCGCGGGTAAGCTCATGTCTGGGGGGGAAACGGTCATGACTGGTACTGGTGCAATTGACTTTTTGGCCTAAAGGTTAGTCGCACAGATTGATGAGCATCCGGGGGCGGTCTTCATGGTTGGGAGTTTCAAGTAGTATTCGGTTTAGAAAATGAAAGGCGACTGCAGTAATCACGATGCAAACAAGAAAAGTGACGTTTTGTCTTTGGGTCGTGGTAGCTAGCTATGCTGTTTATGCGATCAACAGTGGTGTGCAGATCGTTGGCATGACCTAACACATACGTATTTACGGAGAAGATGTGTAATATTATACTAGAAAAGCTCCGGACGTGTACACAGTACAGTATTCGTACACTACACGCACAATCAGAATTGGTCCAGCCATTGTCCGATCCATTGAGCATAGCAAGCATAGGTACCGTCAGTGCCGTCCACATCCCTACATTCTCTCACATTACCAGGGCTCGGCGACGCGATCCCGGCGCAGGACAGCGGAGCCCAGAGAAGCGCCCAACAGGGCCGGAGAGGTCAGGTGTCGCCGCTACGATTCCTGCTGGCTCCGCCTCGTCTCCATAATGACATGCTCGTCGTCGCTCCCAAGGTACGGATTAACCTCACCAGCCCACAGTCTCCAGTATTCCTCTCCAATTGGTGGTCTTAATTGCCTCCGCAGTCCGGTTTTAACGTGGGTTAACGTGGGGGGGACCTCCCCGGGTTGCGCCCTCGAGTTCGAGACAAGTTCGACACCCAATATGAATGGCATTGCATTCAAGCTTGTAATAAGCAGAGCTCGCTCGTCGTTGGGAAATCTTGCCGAGTTATAGCGAGCATTGAAACTCCGAATCCAGATGCAGAGTGTACCAAATAGGTACTGCACAGCAGTAGTATGTAGAAGACAGAAACACACACAACACCCAAACATACACCATTGCTGTGTCCATGCCCACCATGAACGATTCACTCGCTGCAATTTTTCCCCCCCTTCCTTTTCTCTGAGATGGGGCAAAAGCTGCTAATCGTACATATTACTACTACTACTACTACTACTACTACTACTACTACTACTACTACTACTACTACTACTACTACTACTACTACTACTACTACTACTACTACTACTCGAATGTGAGACCTGTGGGGAGGCTCTACACTAGGAAGCCCAAACGACTCGAGTCGACGACAGATGTGTGGGCAAGCACTGTGAGTGGGACCTCTTCTTTGCCTTTCCCGCATTTCCCCCAAGCTGGACTGGAGCTTCCACTCTCGTCATTGCATAGGCCCACGGGTAGGTAGGTGGGTAGGTGGTGTACTGTGTAAGTTGGTAGGTTGACTCCTTGCCATGCACCAAGCTTCGGACCTACTTTTTTTTTTTCTGTGCCTCTGACTCTCTGCCTCTGCTCCCTACCTCATACTTAGGTACATAGGTAGATAGTAATGGAATTTAGTATCGTCTTCTGCTACTCCTCCGCGTCCTTCCTCTCTTCCTTTTTCTCTCATCCTTCTCTATTCACCAACTCCCTCGTCATCTTTGCGCCTCGTGTCCCTTGAGCGCCGGCGTGGAAACTGTCGAAACGCCCTCAGACGTCAACTGGTTCTGTCCGTCCGCAGCAATTGCAAACCACCTCCCATTGCAGGATTCATCGTTGCAGCTTTGGTCTGCATAGTGTGAGCTTCCCTCGCTTACCCAACACCAAACGCCCGCCACCCTTGTCAATTGAGGCTTTTCCCTTGACCTTTTCATTGGTGGCAACAACCTTCAAAAACCAACCGAGCTCTTCTAACTCAAGACACATATTTATACAGCCATCCTTGTGTGTGTACATTGAAACGGGAAGCAATTGCCAAAATTGCCCATTGACCTCTTGGTTGAGGTTTTTAGGTTTAGTTGCCACCACTGCCCACGCCGCACATCGGAGCTCCTGAGAGCTTGCGCACCATAATCCGATCTCCAACCCGTCTTTGCCATGTCCAGGTTCCAACGACTAGCCGGTACCGTCCGGCGGGCAGCTTTGCCAGCCACCGCTATCACTGTTGGAGGTGGTGCCCTGCTCTACTACTCCTACCGACCGCGAAATATTCCCGGCTTCGAAGCCGCCGCAGTCCCTCCTCCCATCTTCGGCGCCGACGGCACCTTTTCGCTACCCAAATTCCCCAGAGTCAAGTCGCGTGAGGAACAGCTCGCCGAGCTCAAGAAGAGTGCTGGGGATGGAGAGGAATACGACTTGCTAGTCATCGGCGCTGGCGCGACTGGTGCTGGAATCGCCCTCGATGCCGTTACTAGAGGCCTCAAGGTTGCCGTGGTCGAGCGCGATGACTTCAGTAGCGGAACCAGCAGTAAGAGCACCAAGCTTGTGCACGGAGGTGTCAGATATCTGGAAAAGGCTGTCTGGAACCTTGACTATAACCAATACCAGCTAGTGAGGGAAGCGCTCAAGGAGCGCAAGTACTTCCTGCAGACTGCCCCCCATTTGAGCCACTGGCTGCCCATCATGCTGCCACTGGACAAGTGGTGGAAGATCCCATACTACTGGGCTGGCACCAAGGCCTACGACTTCCTCGCCGGAAGCGAGGGCATCGAGAGTTCCTACTTCCTGACCAAGAGTAAAGCCATTGATGCGTTCCCCATGTTGAAGCAGGAAGACCTGGTTGGGGCCTTGGTCTACTATGATGGTGCTCACAATGACTCGAGGATGAACGTGTCGCTGGCCATGACTGCTGCTCTGTACGGTGCTAATATTGTCAACCACGCTGAAGTCACTGGACTGCTCAAGGGTGCCGATGGAAAGCTATGCGGCGCCACCGTCAAGGACCGCATTCCCGAGAGGAATGGCAAGGACGCTCAAGATTTGACCATCAAGGCCAAGTGCATTGTCAACGCCACAGGTCCCTTCTCGGATGCCGTCAGGAAGATGGACGATCAGAAGTGCATGGATATTGTTGCTCCCGCCTCCGGTGTGCACGTCATCCTGCCGGGATACTACAGTCCTGCTAAGATGGGCTTGATCGATCCTTCAACCTCGGATGGCCGCGTGATTTTCTTCCTCCCATGGCAGGGCAACACCATTGCTGGCACCACGGATGAGCCTGCAACAGTGACGCCTAACCCTTTGCCCGATGAGAAGTCGATCCAATGGATCTTGAACGAGGTCAGCCACTACCTCTCCCCGGACATTACTGTCCGCCGTGGTGATGTCTTGGCTGCATGGTCTGGTCTTCGACCTCTAGTCAAGGATCCCAAGGCTGCCAACACGGAGTCGCTCGTGCGTAACCACCTGATTGATGTTTCAGAGTCCGGTCTCATCACATGCGCCGGTGGCAAGTGGACTACTTACCGCCAGATGGCTGAGGAGTGTGTCGACGAGGCCATCAAGCAGTGCAACCTGCCCACCAAGCCCTTTGTCAATGCTCCCCGTGTCAGCGGTACTGAGGCTATAGATGACGGCGCTATTCTTAATGGCCAGTGCCAAACTCACAACGTTCGGCTCATTGGTGCCCATGGCTTCAGCAAGACCCTTTTTATCAACATCATTCAGCATTTTGGCATTGAGACCGAGGTTGCCAAGCACTTGACGGAGAGTTACGGAGACCGTGCCTGGACTGTGGCTGCTCTGTGCAAGACTACTGACCAGCGCTTCCCCGCCAGGGGTGAGCGAATCTCGGCCTTGTATCCCTTCGTCGATGGAGAGGTGCGCTACGCCGTCCACAATGAATACGCACAGACAGCCGTCGATGTTCTGGCCAGGAGAACGAGACTATCTTTCTTGAACGCGCAAGCTGCCCTAGAGGCCTTGCCCAAGATCATTGATATCATGAGTGAGGAACTGAAGTGGGATAGCAAGCGCCAGGAGCGGGAGTGGACAGACAGTAAGTTTCAGCAAACCTGTGTCGGAAAACTTGGAAGTCAGAAAATCAAAACTAACTATTTGACCAGCTGTATCGTTCCTGCAGTCAATGGGCCTGCCAGAGCCCATGTTGAGTGCTACGAGGAGAGACGTCGAGAAGCGTAAGCTGGACTTTACCAGCTCGCTCGAGTACAAGATGTACTCGAGGCACGACAAGCCCGTTGAGGCATAAAAGCGTGTCTTATCTTTTGTATATTGTGTTCATACACTTAGCATTGGGGTTTCTAGAGGAATGGACGGAGCAATGGGTCGGTTAATTTCTGATATCTCGGCTTACGGATTTCGTAATAGATCGGCATGCATTGGCATGCTAGTTCATCTTTGTATAAAGCCTGCGTTGGCACAGCTAGACGAAGATTACTATTGATTGTAATAATGCTCATTTGTCTATACTGCGAATATACTCGCACCCAAAGTGGGGGTATGTTAGTTTCACATATACTTCAGTCGCGAGGCGCTACAAAGAAGGACGATGTCTGCGTGTGCTGCCTTTGTGGAGACGAGGGTTTTCTATAGGTGAAGCTAACTGTGCATCTATACTAGACAAACCGTGAGAATGAAACCCCGAATGAAAAGTAGGCTAGCCAGCGTGGCGTGGTCCTAGTCCTCGGTACTCCAATTCCAGGAAGTTGCCGTAAATACGTCCCTGGCAAACTTCTCGGCACCCATGGCATGCTCGAACCGAAGTCTCTGATCGCTCTGCATGCCTCTGGTAAAGTGGAATGGCCTGTCTGTAGAGGTTATACCTTCCATGTCCTCTTCAGAAGGAAGCCAAGCGGCCCTTTTCCGGTCATTTCTCCAAGACAGCCGGCTCAGAGGTAGCGAGCTGGTGGACAGCAGCGCTTTGATAAAATCCAAGATGGGTATCATTCGCGTCCTGAGTCCGCAGTTTGTGTGGTGCTTGTCAATCTGATACCCCGGGCACTGGCGCAGAGTGGCCAGGATTGTGTCAACTTGAAGCAGCGACGTGTCTGCGATCAGGTTCAGCGAGCTGGGGGAGAAGTCCACCAGGAAGAAAAGGTTCTTCGTGCTGAGGAACTTGATTGTTTCGCCGAGCTGGTATGAGTCACAGGCGGCACTGGAATCGTAGCCTAGCTTGCACTGTCTTGTGCGCGATATGTACAAGCTGAAGAAGTGGCGAGGAATCGAGGCAATGCTATTTAATACTGTAAACTATAAGCAGGTTACCTTTGAAGGTTTGCATTGCGGTTGACCTACCGCATTCGCGCCGGTATTGAAGCTCCTCTGTGAATTTGAATCGTCGTTAATCACCACCCGGTGTACGAATTGACATAAAGCCTAGACAAGTGCGCAAAAAGACGACATTGAAGAGAATACTTACGTTCAATGCCGTCCGGTAAGTACCACCACATGGCCTCATCTCTCCCGTCATCTTGCTCGGGAAAAGAGCTCCACTTCAAGGAGCCATTCATGATCAACTCTCGTGTTGCGGCCTGGAACCGCGGAGGCTGGTTCAGCAGCCAGGAGACGAGTATCTTTTGACGCAGCGCATTCTCAAGAGCCCGACTCATCCGGGGATCTTCGGTCACGGTCACCTTACGTTGAGTCGCAGGCCACTTGAACTTGAGTGCCCCGGATGCCATGGCCTTGGAAACGGCCGGGGCGCAGTCGAAGCGATCGGCTAGCACAGCCAAGGTTGCAACGAAATCTAGACTGGGTGACTGGGTGGCCACTTCGGTACCGTGTAGAAGCCTTAGCATATCGCCAAAGGCCCCCTCCCGGTGCGCAAGCCGAGTCTCCTGATCATCATCTACGATCCTCACCCAGGGGAGATCGCTCACGTGAGCCGACGCTGGGTCCGTCTTCCTCAGGGACAAGGCGCCGAAGGCGGCCTCAATGGTCTTGGCCTCCTTGAAGCGAGTATCTCCCAGCATGCGGTCAAAGTACTTGGAGTGCTGCTTGAGGACAGCCAGCTTGACCCTGAAGCCGACACGAGTCCTAGCCTTGAGGGCTGGCGCGGGCTGCTGCGCTGGGGCAAGTCTCGAAGCCTGCTGCTTCTTGGCAGACTTGAGGGTCGCCTTGGAATTCTCAAAGACGCAATCCAGGACCACATCGCCAGCATCAGTGATATCAACCACTCTGGGCAGAGCAGTTGGACCCGGTGGGTCGGAAGCCTCTCCATTTGAACCCAGGTCCTCCATCTGGTCGATCTTCGGTATGAGGCAACCCCTTCAAGATGCGGTAATGCGGAGCAATCATGAGCTCTGATCTGAGCCTATTCAATATGTGTAGCAATGCCCAGATTTTTGGAACTTTTCGTGGTTGTTGTTGTTGTTCATTGATATCTTTATTTCGTCAATATATTATGCGCAAAGAATACAAGAAAGTCTTGAGCGATTGTCGGCATTTGGCGTAGCTTGATGACGTGAGTAAAAGGTTGACCAAACGAGTCGACTTAAGGGGTCGGGTTCGCGTGGAGAAGTCTCAATGGCCAATGAGCAGGCAGGGGAAATTATCCACTCCACCTCTGTCTGCTATTCCATCAACACCACCCATCACTTCCATTAGTCGGCGGAAAGGATCAAGCAAAGCGATGGCATCGTAGTTTCTAGAATCAATGTGAAAAGACGTGGCATGCTGTGAGAGGAGAGAGATTTAAGAGCATCTCTCTCTTGGAACCTTTCGCAGTCTCCAGCCTCCAAATGCCATATTTTTCGGCGCTACAGCGAATTCTGTGTCAAGCAAGGCACGGCGAGGGGCCGATGGCTGACTGGCTACAAACAAATATTATCAGAACAACGGAGGTGTACAATTGGCATCTCCAGTTTGCCACCCATAAATGTCCAGCGATGGATACCTTGTAGATTGTGCAGAGGTTGGCTATTCGCCTATCGCTGGATTCGACTATCCATTGCTATTCCATGCATATGAATATGACTACCCCACAGCTTACCTAATTATCAAATTCCTGTTTGGTAGGTGTGAATAACACGATCATACATAGTACAATGGCTGTGCCACAGCTGCCGAGTCTTGCGTATAGTATTAGGTGGCACTACTGTTGTTGCGTGACCACTGTGCTACCCTCTCTTTGCGCAACAAGTGGTGGGCCTTGTCTCACCGAACTTGATCGCTAGGCATCCATCCACTAACTACAGTGTACGAAGATCAACAAGTACATATAATGGTTTCATTCCTTGAGCAGATTCATGAACACAGTCGTTTACAGCCATCAATTATCAGCAAGAACCTATCGGATACCCACCTGCAGGATAGAGTATATATAATTAGGTACCAACGTGCTAGTTATAACAGGACGCGCCAAGTGAAAATGGTGTATTTTCAAGATAGGTTCAATCAGGGACGGGCACGTATGGTGGCGAATACTCAGTTGTACTTGATTCTGAGCGCTCATGGTTCTAATGCATGGCGACGATTCTTGATGTGTTCTAAGATGCTGTCCATTTTGACTTATGATCGTGTGGGACGTCAATACGACAAGTACTGTGTGTACTGCTTGATCGAGTGGCTGGCGGGTGCTAGTAAGACGAACACAATTCATATGGATGCGGCAGCTTGGCTATTGTATTGTATCAGAGGTTCAAGGTTGCAGTATCCAGATGACTGCAGCTCTTGTACAGTAGTGTACCCTAAAAGCCACACATCACATATTTCTGTTTCAAATCCTTTCCTAGAATACGAATTAACTGGAATAATGATCTGTCACGGAGGACTTGGCCAATATATTTCGGGGTCAATACTTGGTAGGTTACATACATGATGCACAGATACATGGGCAGACGTCTAGTGGGTCGCTCGCGTCTCAGACCAGACATAACACTTGTTTATTTCTCGAGTTCTCATCTTTCGTGTTTAGAGCCAAGCAAGGGCACACACAATATTAAGAAAGCGTGGAGGATAAGGTCAAATTACAGATAACATCACGGTACAACTTCCGTGACGGTTACTCATGATTTGGCGGGCGGGCGGGCGGGCGGGCGGTACAGGGACTAATAATTGATTGATTGATGGAATGAATGGATGAAAGGCTGATGGCTGGACTGCCGGCAACTGGGTGCTATGTAATGTATCCACCTCCGCATAGTGCACGTCCATAAATTGATTCCTGGAGATACTCCGCGTTGGATGGGTGGAGACATCAATGACCTTTCAAGGTTCATGATCGACCTTTTTTGTACATCACGATAATTGAGACCAGTACGGTACCAAAAGTATATTGAACGTTGACGGGACCACTTCCATTTCAACAAAGACAGCCAAGACAACTCGAAACGGATTCCAGAATGGACAAACAGTGGACATGGTGATGGAGAAATGTGAACCAAGTTTTGGCGCATAAGGATATTTCGTCTTGAGCTCGCAAGCACCATGAAAGAACACACAGAAAAAAAGAAAAAGAAAAAGGCTGCTAACCTATCGATTTGCGCTGATGGGAGGGAAACGCGACCCTAACAGATCTGTGCATGGTACGTACATGAGCAAGGGGGCCAAGTATGAACAAAATTGAACAATCTTGTCTCATCTCATTTGTCGGATGTAAGCGCGCGCGCCCGCCGTGTCTAGATTTGGCATACACACACTTACATTCTGGCAGGTTTGGGTGATAGATGGGTCAAGTTGGTACCTACATGTTTGAATGGCAATAGTTAGGTATGTATCTGCATGATGGATACCTTGTATGTGAGGAACATGTAGGTTGGCATCATTCATTTAGGTGCACCGTCAAGCTCTCAAACATTAATGCCCATATTGTGTGCGCGCAAGCATGTACTTTGTACAGTTCTGAAAGGTCCCTGGCTGGATATCCGATGAATGCGCCCCCAACCTGCCCATCTGTTGATACGTACCGAGTTGACGATCAGATCATGCCTTGGTCGGTTTGGCGACGGCTGACGAAAGAAACAAAAAAAAAAACCGAAAAAGGAAAAGAAAATTCGGTGGGGCCTCTGGAGTGCGATGCGCTACTGCACGAACTTACAGGGAGCTCTCCACTTTAATTTTTTTGGCCTGAAGCCAGACTTTTGGGATGCCGAACGGGATTTCTCAACTGCCAAAGGGCTTGTACGTGAAGACCTGCCTTTGCGCACCTCTTCGACCACCTGCATCTCGAGCGCCAAACAAAAATTCAGGCGCACGGCGAACCAGAGCAAAAAAAGAAAGAAGGAAAGCAAAAGAAAAGCAAACAACCAAACACAACTGGGACTGCGCGACGCCCGACACACACCAATTTGCCCTGGGCGCCTCGAAAGTCCATCCTGCTGCGGGAGCGTCTTTGCTGTGTCTTTCTCTGCCCACAAGCGATACTGCACTCTCTATACTGCTACCATCTCGCGACAGCCTGGCTAGACAACGGACCAGCTCTCCCATCGCGCTGACAGATAACGGCGGCGGTACTATTCACATCTTTTGCGGCTTACTCGACATCGCGAAACAGTTGGAACCAGTACAGAAAGGAGGGAAGGAGCAGCGACATCGAGTGCCCTCATCAACGACACTGCACACCCGATTGACAACCACTACCGACCGCCCCAACTTTCTATACTTGCCTCTACTACACCAAAAAAAAAAAAAAATATTCACAGCCATCCATGCATCCGGTCAAACGTCCGGAAGTCATGGACGTCACCTCGGTCAAGTCCATCACGGACTTTGTCCCCCGTTATCGCGAATATGCTGCCGCCAAAGAGCAGACCGAGACCTTCATCAAGGTAGGTTGGTTTGCGCCGTGCTGCGCCTGGCATTATCACCGTCGTCCACATGGATTGATTCTGACTGGCGCTCTCTTCAGGACTTGATGATTTATGCCGAACACATTGAAAACACGACCCGGCAAGAAAAGCTAGCACTCAATACCCAGCTGCGACACGCTCAGTTTGATTATGAGGACTCGGTGAATGCTCGACGTGAGCTGCAAGCTCGTGTCATGGATCTCGAGAGCCAACTGAGCTTTTTGTCACAAAATAACTCCGGTCTGAAACATAGAAATCCCTACGTCCTCGTCCTTGTTGACGGAAATGACCTAATAGTAAGATGAGACATCCGACACTGCAACTGACAATAGTAGCGCCTTTTGCTTACCGTTTCCCAGTTCCAAGACCATCTTGTCAAGCAAGGCGCCGAGGGTGGCAGCAAAGCAGCATACGCCCTTCGCCAAGCAGTCTACGCCAAAGTACAAAATCCAGATGACACGGAAATCATTGCCAAGGTTGTGGCCAACCTCTCTGGCTTGGCCAAGGCTCTACGACGCAATGAGAATGATCTCAAGCATTTCATGCTGGGCTTCACCCAGGCCAAAGCATCTTTTGATTTTATTGACGTCGCCAATGTCGACACAGGTGCACATGCCAAAATTGCAGATACGGCACGCTTCCATCTGAAGAATTACAATTGCACACAGGTCATGCTTGGAGTTTCCGATCCTGCCTACGTCCAGCTCCTCGACGACGTCAAGGATGAAATCAAGTCGAAGCGTATTACTATCTTGGAAGGATGCCCCGTTTCAAAAGAAATCATTGGCACTGGTGTGTCTGTCGCTAGTTTTGACGCAATTTTCAGAGCCGAAAAGCTGCCGCTGGTTGTCGACAAGCCCGTCACGACCGCATCGTCAATTGCTAGCACCCCCATCTCGAATTCCGCCACCCCATTTACGTATGCGACCATCACGCAAAAGGCAAGCCCCCCGCCTCAGTTGATTCTGCCTCTGGCACCGAAGACGGTCCAAAGTAAGAGCGCAGCAGTACGTGTAACCACACGACCTGTATCACCCCCTTGGAACCCTGGTGCTCGAGGTCTGGATCCTCCTATCCCTTTGAATCAGAATGTCCTCGACATCGTCAAGAAGCGAACCGGAAGCGACAAACTCTGCAACAACCATTATCTGCGAGGCCCCTGCTCCAAGGGTGACGCATGCTGCTTCGAGCACGATTACACGCCAAATCAGGATGAGATAAGAGCCATCCAGTTCTTGGCACGCCTCAACCCTTGCACAAATGGTCAAGATTGTGACGTGGATAACTGCATCTATGGCCATCACTGCCCTAGCGTCAAGGACGGCGTCTGTACACATCCATTCTGCAAATTTCACGTCAATGAGCACCCCCCGGGAACAAAGATAAAGGCCAGCAAGAAGCCCGTCGATTAGGAATCAGAGAACGGCTCTGGAACAGGCTCGACCAATCTGTGGATCTTGGGAAACAGCCGTACAGGCTCCACCATCTAGTGTGCTTCATTACAGTCTGGTGCATCGATTACCCGTCATGAAGACCTCAACCGAGAGCTGCAAGACATCAAGGTCGGCCAAGCCGATTAGCAGCAGGATCAAGGGCGTAATTATCATGTCAGATGAGTATCACACGGCACTACTCATCTTAAGTCTATTCCGTGTTGTGAACTCGTCTGCTAAAGCAAGGACTATCGATGCAAGGTAGCTCTCTATGACAGTTCGGCTCGCTTTGCTCAGTGGAGGCAAAAAGAAAAAAGTTAGGTGGTAGCATTTGTCGGATATGAAGAGTCGCGTTTGATTCCGTAGAAAAACCAAGCCTCCCAGTGCCATAGCTATGATAATAAGATCCCAATGGATGAATGGGTATGGTTGAAAGCTTTGATTACGTGCAGATGCTTCCGACAAGACTACAGCATATCGTCCCTTGTCAGACGCGGAACAAGAACACATGCATGATGTCATGTATAATAATCTTTTTCCCCATTTACCCCTAAAGCATACTCGTAACTTTTACTTCTTTGATTTCATTCCCGAAGCGGCCTCGTCCAAGGCTCTGCTGCCATCATGTTGCGATTTGGCATGGGAATCATTTTGATTCGCGCTCAGCACCCGTCATCAGGCATACGGGCTGGGTATATGGGAACGCAATCAGCTAATTCGTGGTGTTGCCTAGGTATATTCACAAAAGATTGGGCGCTTCCAACCTAGTTTCACCGTGGCGTCGAGTGGACTTCCAATTGCTCCTCGAGTACCCTCACGGCTTCACGGGTATTCTATCACGTGTTCATCCTCCTGGCTTGGCACTGCCGTTGAGGTTCTTGACACTAATGTGGCGGAAATTGATTCAACAGGTTCCAAATCGTGTCGTTGCCAAACTCTCCGCCAAAGTTGTAGCCCACTTCGCTTTGCTCGCCACCAATGGGACGTGATAGGCTGTTGACCAAATCTGCACTAGCTGAGCCGTCTGCTGCTCCTTGCCAGACTCCAATGCCGGCGCTCGGGGGGATACCATCATCTCGTATGCCTGTCAGGTCATTATAGGCCACGTCGCCCATCGGATACATTGGCGGAAGCGAGCTAAAATCGAAATTGGTCGGAAAAGACCAGTCGGGTGCAGGGAAGAGCTCTGCGCCGGGTGTGAGACCAGTTCCGCTGCTGCTGCCATCCGTGTGAACAGCTGGTGACTCAGTCTTCGGCGTCACTGACGCAGGATGTGACTGGGTGACTGCCGGAGAAGACTCGGCGGCAATCGAAGTCTGTCCATCCGAGCTCTTGGTGGCGTCATCTTGCTGATCTGTTTGGCACAGTTCTTTGGGGCAGGTAAAGGAGCGAGGGCATAGCTTGTTGAGAAACCCGTGACCTATGGCCTTTTTGAGCCGAATATAGATGGCATTCAGGACTCCCAATGCTGCAGCAGCCAGACGGTTGCGATCAGCCATCGCCTCGAACCTTTCGACTCCCCACTGGAAATGCTGGAGCGCATTGTTCAGAAGTTCGGGGTGCTCCTTGGGAAAGAGAATGTATATGCTGGCCATCATGACAATGGCATCAAATGTGCCAAAAAAGAGGCTGAATGTCTTGTACTGTTCGGGATCCAGGCCTTTGAAGTGGATACTTTGTGCCTCTAGCATATCCAAGCTGGCCTTGAGGGCTTCATGTCGACTACTGGCTCGTGTGAATATGTAGGGCCTGTGAAGTGCCATGAAATTGAAGGAAATGAGCTGCGGTAGAGTCGGCCGTGCCAGTGTTATCCAGTGGCACTCTGGAAAAGAATCGAACCTGGTATCCGGGTTTTCCAGGCGAAATTCTGGAGGCGTACGCTCTTGTAATTCGAGAAGCTCCTGGTGCAGTTTTTCGACTTTGGAAAAATCCTTGGGAAATGGGCCTTCCTTCTCGAGGTCGAGAATGTCGCGGAGAGGCCGTAGGCACTCAAACGCCCAAAGACCCCTAGTCAGAGGCGTTGGTGGGTCATTCTCGCCACGAACAAATATGGGAGTTTTCCGTCTGTCGAAGGGGATGGGTGCGTCAATGGGAGAGCTCCTCTTGAAAGTTCGCATGTCCACGCTCGTTGGTCGTCCGAGGACCGCGCCTGTGTGCAAATCCCACATGACGAGAACCATCCAGATCTTCCGCCTGCTCTGCGCTTTCCACATGGCATCCAGCGCTTGTTCTGTGCTATCATTTGGGCCCGGTTGCGGGTCGAACTGGTCACGATGTAGGCCAATCTCCTGCGCATCTCTGATGGCAGTCCCTACTTGATGCCACTATTATCCTGCTCAGTATGACAATCCTACTAAGCAAAAAGGGGGGAAAGACCCCAAGTTTAGACCTACCGCTTCAGTGACCTGGCCGGTGTACTTGAGAAATGCAGCGCGTACCCATCCGGCCAGGACAGTCGGCACCGTCATCTGGCGCTTCCCCAACAAGGTCAAAATTGCAACGCCCGTTTCACTGTACTCCAACGCAAGATCCTCAAAGGTCATGTTGCCTGCATATTTTAGGCTTACAAACCTTGGGTCGTTCTCATCCGACACTGCCAGCAGTGAGGTGGCGAGTACTTGGAACAGAAGTGCAGGAAAAGACCTGAGAGTCGGATCTATGCCTTGCGGCCCAGCATTCGAGAGGAGGTGGAAGGGGAGCTGATACCACATTTCCAGCTGTTCCAAAAACTCGGCCTCGTGAATAGCATAGTACATCCAATTGAATTCCCGGAGGTATATATCGACAAGCTGTTCGACAAATGTGCGCGCTGGCAGATGGCGGACGAGGCTCTTGTACCTTTCTCTGGACCCGAAATGCTCCCCTTCTTGCGCTGCCTCGCCGACGCCGCCGACGCTACTCAGTGGTTCGCCCGAGCCCGCACCTTCGATCTTTTTCAAGAATCCCAAGGTGTTGGCGCCATTTCCGCTGCTATTCGAGTATCCAAAGTCAACCGCCTTGATGGGAATGTGACCTTCGCCATTAGCACCGTCCAAGGGCGGCGATACGTCTTCTCCCGGCTGAGAACCTTTGCGCCCTTCTCCTCCGTCCTTGGAGATGGGCGCGCCCGTCTCATAGCGGCATGATGACTGTTTCCCCCTCGAGACGCAGTTGGTGCAGGGCAGTTTCCTGTCGCATTTCTGCTTGCGCTTATGGCAGTCCAAGCACGAAATGACCACTCGGCGACGTTTCCGCGGCGGGGGCTTGATCGGTTGCGATGTGTCGTTCGGCGGGGTGGTCTCGTCCATCCTGGCCTCGACGCTGGCGCGATCGCCGTTGGTTTGCGCAGGTCCCATCCGATCCGCGAATCTTTCGGCGTCTTCCTCTTTTCCTTACCCTTGCTCTCGGTGTCTTCGCGTCTTCAGTCCGATCAGCTTGGCGTCCGACGGGGCGGATCGGGGGTCGCGAGGTTCAATGCTCTCTCTTTGCAGTGTTTGTCAGCAGAGGAGAAGAGACTCAGAAGTTGGAAGAAATGAGGAGAGCTTTTGGAGAGCTCCTCGACCTGACAGATGCGACAGGACCCCCAAGGGTGTGTAGTAAACCCCACCTCCCAAGTGGACACCTCCGCCGCCAAGGAGGCCCTGGTCTGCTACTAATGCCGGAAATAGCGTGTAAGCTTTGCCATGTCGTCCGATACAAAAGTGCATTATTCGTAATATTCACTTTCTCCTACCTCCTTGCCTTCTCTAGTGCTTCACAATCAAGATCACAAGTTTAGTGAAATGAAAAGAAGCGGCCGTTGTGCGAAAGAACTCACTACGCATATACATGGCGGCTTGAGGAACATCGTGATGGTTGTGAAACACTGTTCCGACGTTTTGGTACCTGTATGAGCGCCCACAATCACATGCCACATTTACTAGCAGGTAGATATATGTTGTACAAATTGCTTAACTTGATCATTTTGCAAAATAAAGAACAACTACTAATGGTATATATCCAATATCTTCGATATGATATTCCCCGCTGTGCTCCGGTAGTGGTACCTTTTTCGTCTTAGATATCTGGCCGTCCCGCTGGTCATAGAGGCAACTAACTGGATGAAGTTGCAAAGCATAAAAACTCTAGACTCGGAAGTGAGTCAAGAGATGGAGTCCCGAAATCAAATGAAATGAAATTCAGGTTGGACCCCTTCTTCAACAAATGGTGCGCAGTTTGCCCTTTCGTTTTATTAGTTGGCTCCTATCCGGTTGAGGTAAGCCTGCCAGGCCCGTTGTCTGTAGCGAGTGGCCTCAACTTGCGGGTCGGCTGCCTTGATGATCCCTCTTCCAACAATGATGATATCGGTACCGCAGATCTGTACCAATTTGGATGGCGTGTTGTATTGTTGGCCTAGGCCGTCACCAGCAACGACGCCATTCTCCTCCTCGCCTTCTGGGGGCAACTGGCAGCCGGGCGTCATGTGAATGAAGTTGTCCGAGGGCTCTGTGTTGAGGCTTTCCTGGGCGATGAATCCCATGACAAAGTCCTTGTGCTCCCGCGCGGCTTCTACGCACGCGTTGGTGTATTCAGCATTCATGAAGTTGCCCTTGCTCGACATTTGTGCCAGGATCAAAAGACCTCGCTCATACGGCGGCTCCTCGATACCGGCGTAGACCAGGTCGTCTCCATCTTCGGTAGTGGTGGCGAACCGCGGCGAGTCTACAGGCTCGAATGATTGTGTCACAGTGGTGATGGACACAATGCTTCCTTTCCGCCCGTCGGCATCCCTGTGGTGGGTGGCCTGGTGGTTGTTGGTGGTGTTGCCGCTGCTGTTGTGGGCCTCGAGCGGCGCCAAGCGATCTTCGTCCTCGGAGTTTCCGTTCTCCTCAAATGCATCGTTGACGGGAGTGCCCACGGTGACGGATGTCTTGACCTCGTAGTTGACACGCGATCTCCACTTGGCGGCAGCCTCTGCCAGTGCGCTTACTGCAGCCTTGCCGGGAACCATGTTGACGTTGACAATGTGCGCCCAGTCAATGATTCGGGCTGTGCCTGCCGTGTACTGCAGCTGGACCGTATTGCCAATGTCGCCAAACTTGCGATCTTCAAAGATCAAGAAGCCATGCTTGCGCGCCAACGCGGCCAGCTTAGCGCCGGTGCCAGTCTGCGGGTGAAAGTCCCAGCCGGCTACAAGGTCATAATGCGTCTTGAGCACGACAATGGAGGGGCCAACTTTGTCTGCCAGGTTGATCAATTCTCGGGCAGATGCAACATCGGCACTCAGACACAGGTTGGACTTCTTCAGCTCCATAAGACGGAGCAAGTAATTGGACAGAGGATGCGTTGCCTTGCTTGCCCGGTCGGCAAAGCTGGCTTTCAGCGTGTGGTTTTGAGGTCGGTCGGCGGACATTGTGGGCGCAGTCAGTGGCTATCCTGATTTGTGCTGCCTTTTTCTGCTTCTGATCCTTGTAACCACTCGATCTTCTAGGATCTGCGTGATCCAACTTGAGCGTCGAGGACGGGGTGGAACACAAAAAAGAGGGTTGCGATTTGACGAGACGTCGAGTGTCTGGCTGGCGGGCGGATTCGTCGATTTTTTTTTTCCCTCGATTTTTTTTTTCTTGGTTCTCCTCTCCTTCTACACAGCACGAGTCGTGATGAGAAGTGATGCTATGGTCTGTGGGGGCCTAGCAGAATTTAAGCGATGGGTGATGAGTTTCGAGGCCTCGAAAGAATAGTAAGGAACGTCGTCTGATCTACATATAGTAGTTGCCAGGTCGGGGTGCGCGTGTACGTGTGTGTGTGTGTGTGCAAAGGGCAGAAGTGTAGTGACGGCGGCGTTGGTGGCGGCGGTTGGTGGGAGTAGTGGTTAGTAGTAGTAATAGTAGTGTAGGTAGACGGTAGTGTCGTTGGTAGTGTAGTGGGCAGACCAGGGATCTCGCGCAAAAGGCGGTGCGCATGCAGACGACAGCGAGTCCAGACGGTCAAGTCAGTCGATTTCCGCTTGGGCTTGGCGGAGGTTCGGCCAGACTCCTGGCTATGCTAGGTCCAGCTCGGAGGATGAATGGGGCTCTCGCGTATGTACTCTGATTCCGTCTCTCTCTCTCTCTCTCTATTGTCGTTCATCAGTCTCCTCTCGCGCACACACACTGTCTCTCTCCTCTCCCGGGGTTCTCCTAGGCCTCTCTCCGTCTCCTTGGTCTTGAGTAGTGGAGTAGAATGATGTCAATTTAACAGCGCCAGGATACCGCTGCTTCGTCGCTACTGGGAAAAATAGCGAGACTGTGGTACGCTGCTACGTGCGTGCACTGCTTTTGTCGTGCTTTTTAATTTCAAGGCAGGTCGGGAACGAGGGAATGTTGCGGCGCTGGAGACTAATAAAATAATTGGGAAAAAAAGAAACGTCTTCTTCTTTCTTCGCCAAACGTATTTGCCGGTTAGCTCCTCACTTTTGTCCTAGGTAGGAGGTTCCTTTCCCCTATTACCGTAGCCGGAAGCTTGGTTAGGTTGGTATGAAACGCTTCCCCCCCCCCCAACTCCAATGCGTAAAGTAAGTATCTAACCTGGGAAGGAGTGGGAGAAAGGGTAAAGAAGAAGCAAAAAGAAGGAACCCGTGCGTATTGGTCCAGAACCTGTGAGCTAAGAAACGTAGTCCCTTGAAAGAGTGGGTGGGTTTCCTTTGAGGAAAGGAGAGAGAACTCTACCGTATAGTGTTTATAGTGCAGAGGCTCGCGCAGAGGAAAGAGGAAGGGGTCCAAGAATAAGCGTAGCAAGAAGGAAATTTGAAGAAAAGACAAACACACTAACTAAGTTTCATGGCTTTTCGTGAGCAAGGCGAAAACTTCCTACGTCAATCACAATGGAGCAGCTGTCGCGCATGCAAACCGTACGATACTTTGTATACCAACCAACTGACACTTCCCTGTCTACGATAGATAATGTGCTTGTGGATTGCATACCATATATCACATACTGTACACAGTCGTCCAACCTGGCCGGCTGGCTCCAAGTCGCCCGTATGGATTGCCTGCCTGTACGATTAAACTCTGCTAATGTGCATTACAAGGCAACTGAGCGACAGCTACATGTGAGGTGTCAAAAACGTCGCACGGGCAGGACTTTTGAAGTAGCCAAGGCTGGTGCACCGATTGCAGTCCTCTCTGATGGTCCTTTGGGTAACGAGTCAGGATGGCGTCCTCTAATCGCCTCTCCGATATTACTCGGTTGATAGATGGACAACTTGGATGACGGACGGGCGAGGGGTGACACAACGGCACGCACGTATCACGAAACTCTGGGGTATGGTGAATACGTAAAACATGTATGCCATATTCGACATATGTACATTCGTACCCACCTACAGATATATTCAGCCATTTTAACCTACCTAGTACCGTACATTCCTACCCACCCATTTCAAATATCTCTCTTTGTACAAGGCTGGCTGGCGTCTTGTGTGCCGACTATACAAACCTACCCAGCCAGTCTACGTGTTACAGTCCGTAATAAGGTATGCACGAAGCAGGGGGGGAGTCCATCGAAGGGGCAAGGGCGAGCGAGGAGACAGAGTCTATACCCAGCTCGCCCAGATGCCCCAAACCCAAGGAGATGGGTGCGTGCCATGTAAGGTGCAGATTACAGTATACTAGACCAGACTTAAAAAGGCTGCCGCTGGGCCATGGCGATCTCTGACATCTTGGGTGGATGGTGATGCTGATCTTCACACATTGTAGTAGGTAGCGTAGCCTGTCTTTATCTACAAACAAAAGGCTGCGTCAACTCTACTCGCCCTGGCAGTGGTGGTACCGGATTTGTGCCCTACGTCTCCTATTTGCAACCTTTGGCGCACTTCATCGGCTGCAATATCTATGTGCGCGGTACTTTTCTCCAATACACTAGGTACATCAGCACTTTGGACTTGTGATTCATGCAATCCTAACGACGAGCACGAAGAATGACTAGAAGCGGGCCGGGGTTAGGCCCATTCGCATGAAGCAGAGTCATCAAAAAACTGCTCACTTCAACTGTCTAATGATGCCACTTGACTGGTTCGCCCTTCTCCCATCTGCGCCACGTCTGCTCCGCTGGCAGACCTGATGAAGGCGGCGCCAAACAATGTCGCTTCCCGTGCGTATCCCCTATCTCACAGTATAGGGTCGTTACAGAAGGGAGTCACACCCTTTGCCCATTTCATTTCTGAGGCTTAACAATACACATCGAGGTACGTAGTTAGGCACAGTGCTCTTCTCTCTCTCTCTCTCTCTCTTACATAGTAAAATGTCAAGGCAAGGCTGGTGTGGTGCCAGAATCAGTAGCAATCAATGGGTAGAATGCAAATGTACGAAGATAGTTTGTACTAGTCGGCCCCCATCCCAACCCGTTGCGGGTGTAAAGCAGAACACCCCCTCGGCATTGCCACTAGGCTTCGAAACCGCCAGACCAATCAAGTGCAGCCCCGAGGTATCAAACCCCGTCGGTTATAGGGTCTAGACTCAGATCTCCCGACGGCTATGCCGACCAGCCCATCCAACATCGTGATACCCAACTTGGTCGTGCGTACCCCCAAATGTCTTTTTTCCAATGCCTGGGGGGGATGAAGAGCCTACTCGGACCCTAGACGCCGAGATCCGTTTCATCTAGGTTAGTCATCTTTGAGCCATGAAATTATTTCTCCAAGGTGTGTCTATTAGAGAGCTCGGTATCGTCGATCATGTCAAGCTAAATAAGAGAGAGAAAAGAGGTTTAGATCACGTGAAAGACGGTCAACCTTTGAACGCGAGCTGACAGGTGAGACATGATCAAGATCGATGAGCGTTGGCTAGCTACAAGCAAAGTTATTCGGGATCCAGCCTTCGAAAACGCATAAAGATGGATTTTTTAATATACACCTCCCTCTATTCTCTTCTGGCCATCGTTGAGGTGAGGAGAGAAGGAAGAATCGCCAGCCTGCAACTAGGTAGTCCTGGGCCACCTGCTGTTGTGGCGCTAGACGCTTAATGTCGCTTCTGATATATAAACGTTCAAGCCACCTAAACAATCTATGTACACCAGTGTTGTTTACAAGAATCAACTAGCCGGACTCGATTTTACTTGTCACCATACCTTTGATTTCGGCTGCGACAGTCAGTGAGTCCAGATTGCAAGAGATCTAAGAGGTGCGTGAGACATGCTCGCGGCGTCTCGCGATATGGAAGTCCACTACTCTGTACACAACTTGAAAAAATTGCAGTGTAAGATGCCAGAACATGGCGACAGTACACAGCTGATTCAGCCCGTTCTCCAAGTTTGAGAGAGGGATTTTGGCGGGAGACATTGTCTTGTTCTGTTTCAAGTCACAGGGCTACTCATTGGCTCGCATAGATTCGATAGAAGAGGCACGCGAAAAGAAGCAACTCATCACGGACGAGTTCAAACACTGAACTAGGTCGGATATGTGTTGAGCTGGTCGATCCCTCAACTCCCGTAATTGACAGGGTCTTCCCCTTCTTCTCCCTCCCCTCCCCTCCCCTACCCTCGGGGTTTGCGGGGTCGCAACATTGGATTGTGGAATTTCTAGTTGTCACTTTGTAGTGCAGTCCATAAATGGCTGCAAGCCCAGCCCGAAATAGGGAGGGTGCCAAAAATCAAAAGGTACACATATGCATTCCCGAGGTCTTTCAGGTGGACTTGGGTGTAAACTCGCTTCTGCAAGTTGCAAAGTATAACTTCAGCCTAGGAACCAAAGCTTCGGTACTGTTTAGCGCCGAACCCCTTCCCCGGAGCCATGATCCTTGTGAGATCTTTTTTAAAGTCTTCCCTCTTTGCTTCTTAAAACAAAGCCAGGTCCTTGAGTGGGAAGGGTTCAAAGACATGGAAGAAGAAAAATATGACTTACATATCAGAAAGCTATGCACATCAGTAGCTTGTGCCTGTCATCATCTGCCGAGGATGCCACAAACTCCACTGATATACATTCGAAACGGCCGTGGAGCGCCATGATTATGTAGTTGAGAGTCAGATGCTGCACCTATGCTGATATCATATAAGCACCTGTAGCCCCCCTTTTGTCTTCTGGGCAACTTGCCCCTTCTCTTTCCGCTTAGAAGATTCCCTTGCTAACCTACAGGGTTCTCCTGAATCGAACAAAAGCAGTGGCCATATCGGTCGAGAGTTTTTTTTCGGCCCTTGCCCCATCTCCATCTCCAGCAAGGTCTGTGGAGTATAAGGACCTCAGTCACTACCTGCACCACGCTTGACATCACTTGTGCGCGGCAAACCTTCCTACCAGCTGCCAGATTCTATATTTCTTTGTGGCCGATGTAGGCCGCAGAACCCAGAGAGCCGCATACCCGACGCGTGGCTCGCGTCTGCTGGCGCATATTTTCAGTGGAGCTCCTTTTGACAACTGTCGATTTGATCCTCCACCCTTTTGGCTTACATGAAGGAGCAAATTTGAATTGCTTGGACAGGAACCGACGGACTCTTGCCAGAACCCCGAGTGTGCCCATGTATTTAGGTATACAGTATGTATGTGTGTGTGTGTGTGTGTAGTGTAATAGTCGTCTTCCAGGTTACCAGCGTCGCGAGGTACCAAGGACTTGCGCGGCTTTTCGTACCTGGCGGTCCCCTAATCTGGTGAGAAGCACACTGGAACAGAGCAGAGAAGCTTTCTCAAAATAGGTGCTGTACCTTGGTGCGATGTACCCTGGATGGGCATGTACAAAGTAAGCTAAACGGAAGTTGCAACTGGGACCCTGGTTAATCTGCCTGCCGACGATCCCGAGCTGGCTTATCTTTTTTTTTCTTGTTGGCTGCGACCTCCCCCTCCACTCAGCTACAGGTAGGCAGGTATCGAACACTTTTCGAAAAGGTCATCTTCTGGAAGCTCTGCACAACCGCAGTGCTTGGCTGTGCTCGAATAATTACATCAGACGACGGCGGCAGCAAAGTGCAAGTGTTTGCCATCACCAACCCTAGTTCCCGCGCCGGACTTTGGCATTATTATATTTTTTTTTTCCATCTCTTATTTCTTTCCTTCTATTCAAATTGGAAACCTAGAGCGGCTGCAGCAACATTAATCATTCATCGCCAATCTAAGCAATCAAGCTTTCTACGTCACGTCACCCGTGTCTCACCAGAATAAACAAACCATCACCACCATTTGCTCGACCTTGTCGTCAAAAGCCCGTCGCCTTTCCGCGCCCTACCTGCATTCTCCGGCACATAATCGGCTCGAGATAAGTCTCCCGTCATGTCCGCACGACAAACCAGGCGTCAGGCGGCCATGGCCGCTGCGGCCGAGACGCCTACCAAGTCGCCTGTGACGGCGTCGTCCGAGTCTTCCCAGCACGACAACACCAATGGAAACGGTGCTATTCAACAATCAGACGCTCTCTCATCATCAGACCGTGCTGCGCCCAAGGAGAACATCTTTCTTTTCTGGCCCAATATTATCGGTATGATGGCTCTCAGGGCAACAAAACTACCAGATCTTCTGAGTCTTGGCTGACGCCCATCTTCATTACAGGCTACTGGCGGATTGTGCTTGGTGTCGCTTCACTTTATTACATGCCATTACATCCACGGACCTGCTCTGTGCTCTACAGCGTTTCGTGCTTGCTCGATGCCCTCGACGGCTACGCCGCCCGCTACTTCGAACAGTCAACCAGGTTTGGTGCCGTGCTGGACATGGTGACCGATCGATGCACCACATCGTGTCTGCTGGTCTTCTTGTCTTCCGCCTTTCCGCGCTGGGCCATTATCTTCCAGGGATTGATCTCGCTCGACCTCGCCAGCCACTACATCCACATGTACGCAACTCTGGCCATGGGCGGCTCCGAGATGAGCCACAAATCTGTGGACAAGTCTAGGAGTTGGTTGTTGAACCTGTACTACACCAACAAGGTTTGCAGCACTCTGCTCGTCTCAATCATGCAGTCACGCTAATTACATGTCTAGACTGTCCTCTTCGTGGCCTGCGCCGCCAATGAGCTTTTCTTTATTGGCCTCTATCTCCTTTCTTTCTCCTCGCCTCTGCTGTCGCCACAGCTTTTGGAGACTGTAGGGGAGGCCAAAGCTGCGGCGATTCAAAGCGGTGCCCAAGTTAACAGCTCGATCGTCCGCCAGCTTTTCACAAACCCTTACAGCGCGGGTGCTCTGGAGATGGCTCGTGCCAACAAGATGGATTCGTTTTGGCCTTGGGTCCTGACCGGTGTCAGCTTCCCCATCATGGCCTTCAAGCAGTTCACCAACGTGATCCAGTTGATCAAGGCCAGCAAGTGGCTTGCTGAGGGAGACGTCGCAGCACGGAAAGCTGCAGGCTTGCCCAGATCCATCAAGGAAAAGGCTAAGAAGGGTTAGAGAGCAGGCACTGAAGGGGAATTTGTCATTCTTTATCCTCAATTTTGCGTGCTCAGATTATTGGCCCAGGCTTAGAAGAGACGTACTCTAGAGACAGATGACCCGGGATCAGCGACTGGGCCAGGAGCAGCTCGTCTGCTCTGTAGCGTGACCGTTGCGCAGACATTTGATTCGGCATTGAATGGGACTGGCAGAGGCTTACATTTGGACGCGCATTACGGTGCCAGCAAAAGCACAACAGGCTCTTGGAATCAAGTCATTAAATTGCCTCAATGTGACGGCCGCTGTACCATTTGTATGAATAGGGGGGTGTCGGCGAAAGGGAGAGCAGAGCCCATTGTGCTACTCACCTGGGACACGCACGCGCACATGCACACGACTGCGTATCGGGTATTGCATTGGAAGGCGCGAGTGATAGATGGGACTGGCATGTCTTGGTTTTTGTTTTTGTCTTCCCCCCTCACATTCGTTGCCCCTTTGTTACAGGAGACGATGTGAGTGCTGATTTCATGGAAAATAACTCAGCATAATGAGTCTGCCACGAGTGGACCAACTTTCTTGTTCTATGTTTGTTCTTGTTGATAGCGGAACTCCAGATTTGCCTATTGTCGTATGTGTAAATCTGCGGCAGAATTGAACTTTCAATCATGTTGATTGCCATGTACCGTCGCTGTCCGAGAAAACACTTGCAATCCTTTAAATACTCGGAAGGACGTACGTAGCCTCTCGCTTTCGCATATTCGACGACAAAGGAGAGTGCCTGGACTGAGCTGGACTGAAACTATCCGAGTTCATGGCGGACAGTGACAAACATTACTATATATGGATAAGCATCGAACAGTTCGGAACGATCGTATAGACCAATACCCATGGACCCCGACCTGTTCTGCCAAAACCCCCCTCTCTTACCAATCAATCAACTCTGTTGGCAAGCCACAGAACAACGACTCGTTCTAGCATGGCCTATTTACATATTAGATATAAGGATGATAATGGTTTGCACTTTTCCTCATTTGTGAGTCCAATACACGCGCACATTGAGGGCAGCGCTGCTGAGAAGGAAGACGCTTATCTAGATCCCTTGTTTGCATTAGAAAGAGGATCCTTGACAGTCAAGCAAAGCCCGAAGCTTGAGCTGCGAAATAAGCAACGGCAATCGAAGCTCTGGCTGGTGTTATTAACATCCTAGATGTCGTGATTATTTGAGCCCTGCCAGGTTCGGGCCATGAGACCCCGAAGACATGGAAGCCGAACGTACGACCAGAGGCATTTGATCGGAAGCAGATCCGAAGCGTACACGGCTACGCCATTCTCGGAGCAGTAGCTTTCGCTTGGATTGCTCTCGACAGTAACTCCGAGCGGCATACCGAGCCAGAGGTTATTAGGTATGTGGTGGTTGACCGGGGTCTTATGCAGATGGATGGCATCATTTTAGCCCGGTAGCACGAACATGGCTACAAGGTGGTTTTTCAGGGTATTGTATAGTCTTGGACACTCGGTATCATAAGCTCTTTCCAAGAGCGACGAAACCATTATAAACTCTAGTCTCGTGGCCGGGCATATCTACACGAGCGTCAACATGAAGAACATGTTGCCTTGATAATCGGGCATCTTGACATATCTGCCTGGCACAGAGTTCTTGCCCATTATCACTTGACAAGGACTAACGCCGTATTGGTATCACTACTACTATGGGTGACATTTCTTCCGACGAGATTTTTAGGAACGATAACTCTGGTCGAATTGACCAGCAGCACCCATCAGATCCAAAGAATAATGCCGAGGACGAAGATGTGAAGGAAATTTGCAATGATCTGGTTCAGCCGGGTAGTACGAGTAATCCACCGGGCCTGTGGGCATTGCTCACATCACGGCGAAAGCCGGCGGACCCTGATGCTACGGCAACCGTACGGAGTGTTTTTGATGACGCGAATCTCGCCGGCTACTATCTACCACATAAGGACTATGAAAACCTCCACCGATTCGACCCTTCGGAGCGATGGACGTACCGGGAGGAACAGGAAGTGCGGAGGAAGATTGACTTGAAGATATTTCTTTGGGTTCTAGTCATGTTCTTTGCTCTCAATATTGACCGAGGCAATCTAAGCAATGCCGTAGCGGATAACCTTCTCAATGATATTGGTATCAACACCAATGACTATAACAACGCTCAGAACATGTATCGGGTCGGTTTTTTAATCTCCGAGATTCCTTCTCAGATGATTGGAAAGTGGCTTGGGCCGGATCGATGGATTCCCATCCAAATCATAATTTGGAGTCTCGCCTCTGGGGGCCAGTTCTTCATACACAACCGCGCGGGATTCTTTGCGTGCCGGTTCATGATTGGCCTGGCCATGGGTGGGTTTATCCCCGATGCCATTCTTTACTTGTCCTACTTTTACACCAAGGCTGAGACACCGCTGCGTCTTGCGCTTTTCTGGTTCGTAGACTCCATGTCGGGCGTTGTGGCTTCCTTCATCGCCTACGGGGTTCTACACTTGCGCGGCGTGGCCGGCAAGGAGGGTTGGAGGTGGCTGTTCCTCATTGAGGCCCTCATCAGCATCACCATCGGCTTTCTCAGCTTCTTGTTCCTAGTCCCCGGACCGACGCAGACAAAGACGTGGTGGAACCCAAAGGGATACTTTACGGAGCGCGAGGAGAAAATCATGGTCAACCGCATCCTGCGCGACGACCCGTCCAAGGGGGATATGCACAATCGAGAGCCCTTGACTTTGGCTATGCTGTGGCAGAGTCTAAAGGACTACGATCTCTGGCCCATCTATGTTATTGGCATCCTCTTCGAGATTCCCACGGCACCTCCCAAAGCGTACCTGACGCTGTCACTCAAGTCACTCGGCTTCAGCACCTTCAACACCACGCTGCTGAGCATTCCAGTCACCGTGTTCGCCGCTCTCAATATGCTAGGCGTGACCTGGCTCACAGAGAAGACGAACCGGATCGCCATCACTGGCCTTTTGGCACAGGTCTGGGTCCTGCCTCTGCTCGTCATCGAATACACGTCTGTAGACAGCCTTTCGGCATGGGGTCAATACGCCCTCATCTTTATCATCCTCGGCCAACCATCGGTACACGCCGCGCAGGCGAGTTGGTGTTCTCGACTCAGCAACACGGTGAGGACGCGAGCCGTGAGCACGGCCGCGTATAATATCTCGGTCCAGCTGTCGGGCATCGCCTCCTCCAACATTTACCGCGAGGACGACAAGCCAGTCTACCGCCGAGGAAACGGGCAGCTCATCGCCATCGCCGTGGGCACGATTGCGGCATATGCGCTCGCAGAGGTCTACTACGTGACGCGGAATCGGTACAAGAGGCACGCGTGGGACACTATGACGCCAGAGGAAAAGGCGACATATCTAGAGAACAATGGTCACTTGGGAAATAAGAGGCTTGATTTCCTCTTTGATCACTAAATGGGAATGGAATTGTATATATTACTTGTGTAGTTCCATGCGAATGATAAATTGCTAATACCTAATACTCACCGTCCAAGTTACGCTTGATTGAATTTCCATCTTTGTTCCTCTCCTTTTGTAATTTCGAGCCGACATCTGCTTTTATCCTTGTCAAGAGAAAGGAAATGTCACAACAGGATATCTAGTACGGCTGGACAATATCCAGTCCAACACCAGCACCGCCGACGCACGTTGTCCCCGGGGCAAGAGGTTGTGGGTCTGTCCAGCTTCCGCCAGTGCAGGTAGAGAACTGCGTACCATTCACGCAGAGAAGATATCCTTCCTGGCAGGCCGAAGTGTCTGGGCTACTGTCAACCGTACCAGTGCTGCTTGTGCTCGAAGCGGGTGTCACGGACGAGATCAGAGTCGAGGCGGTCAGGAGAGTGCTAGTGATTGGAACAACATCCACCGTCGTCGGAGTAAGGGTGGCTGAAGATGTCGCGGCTAGAGTCGAAGAGGGCGTCTGGACCAAAGATGTGGACGTAGGGGCAGATGACACGGCCGAGGACAGTACAGTAGAAGACAATGCCGAGGTCGACAGATCCGCAGACGATGCCGCACTTGATTCGGCGGGCGCACCACCCTGAAGGCGGGGATTGCCGTCACATACCTGCTGGAACAGTTGCTCGTCTGGGGTCGGTCGATCAATGTACTTACCTGGATTTGGGTAGGCAATGGCTACTTGTTGCACCAGAGCCTCATTGTTTGTACAGCCGCCAGTGAGGTCATCCAGGTCAGCCATCCACAGGTCGGGAAAGCTTTCCTCACGCTTGGAGACGAGCCCTTCTCTCCTCTCCGAGAGCGGCAGACGCTTCGCCTTGGTTGTCGAGGCCGTGACTGCGATTGGGGCGCATTGCATGTAGTACTCTGGCTGACCGCCAATTCGAGGCACCCACGTCCACCCGAGGACGTAATTTCCAGGCGAGACGCCCGCGGGGATCTTGAAGTAGTACTGATCCGTGTTTGGGCCGTCCAGATTACCGGCCTGGTTTCGGGCCGGGCAGCCACCCTCAATGGAGTGGATGACAAAGAACCTGCTGTCCTTGCTGGGTTGGAACGAGTCGTCAATGTCGGACGTGAGCGAGATCTGACAAGAGCCGCCGCCGTGGACAGCAGTCCCCTTAAAGGTCAGCAACTGATCCTCGCCAATGGCCATTTCCGTAGGAGGTCCGTCCATCTCTAGACGCTGGCCTGCAGGTACCTTGCATGGGAAAGTTGCTCCTGAGATTGGGTTCGAAGGTCCGTCTTCCGCCTTTCGAAAGGGCAGTGGGTTCTCCAAGACGATATGACTGTCACCGGTGGACAGAAGCATCATGGTAGACGCGGCAATGTACAGAGTCGAACGCATGGTGTCTTTTTATGATGGTTTCTTGATAGTTTCTTGGATCTTATCTTTTGTGAAGATTGGGTTTACAAAGGTTGTAATTTTGAAGTGTGTGATGGTTTAGATTTGTTGAAAATGACTGATGAAGTGAATTGTCGAGATATTGGGTTTTGATGGCAAGACTCCATGTTATTTATGAACAACAGAGGATGGCCCATTCTGCTCAGTGGCAAGGAACACAATGAGTTGTGAAGTTGAATGTAGGGAAGAGTTAATACATCATCATTGTTCAAAGATACACATTTGCGGATGGGCGGAAACAATTCCTTGATATTCTGAGCACAAAGGAAATATTTCCAAGACACATGGTGCTTTGTTTCTACACAAGTCTTTGTCTCCTAGCAGCACTTTCTCGACTTCTCAAAAGGATTCTAAACCATGAGAAAAGCTTGTGATAAGGCGACGAGAACACGTTTGTCAAGGATATTCTGGTATGAATATTCAGATACAATACACATTGACATGTGAAAGTGGAGAGAGGCAAAGGTAAGGGGATGTACCAAGAAGGGTAGATTCTAGAGAATTGTATGCTCCCGTACGAATTCGAAAGTGAGATCAAACTAGCTTTTACGAGATGCCTGACAACAAGATTTACCTGATAATTTGGCAGAGAAGGTCAGGTTTGGTTAACCGAATGATTGCCCAGCACAGAGACGCCCCCTGGAAATGACGAAAAGCACAATATGCAGAGTTCCAACGTGCAGAAGCAGGTGATTCATCCTGTTATACTACATAAATTCCAACCCATCCTCAACGCCCCGCTTAGATATCAACAACATACAAATCCTCCATCCCAAAGAGAATTGCACAGAATGAAAGCAAAGAATCGGAACCCTAAAACTGGCGTCCACTATTTTGTCTCCTAGGAGGCACGTGTGCCATCTCAAAGGCGTATGAGTTGATGTCATCACCCTGGCTGACGGACCTTCTTTCATAATCCACCGTGACGGTCTCGAACTTGACAATCTGCCGGGGGTGCTGCCTGGGTAAAGCCAAGCTTGCGATGCTGTCCGCATCACTGAAGCCGCTTTTGATTCCCCGTTTTGAGCTTGTGACGACGGATGTGTGAGTGACGTTTTGAAATTCGCCATTGCCACCAGACTGCGAATAGGACTTGTGGGTGACGATATTGCGTATGAGGATGCGAAGAACGGGTATGGATGCTGCAATGATGGTGACTGAGAGCTCGGCAGCCGTCCACATTGCCAAGATGCCGGCCTCAAAGGTGAAATCCTCCTCGTAAAGAAGCCTCACATTGACACAGCGCACAATGGACGTGACACCAGCGCTGAAGGAAGTGGCTGATTAGAAAGAAAGAAGAGTGGTGGTGGGGGGGATTAACGAGCAATACTTACACAACAGCGAGACTCATGCAGATTGCAACACCAAGCTTCTCCTTGAGCGCCATGTTCAACTTCATAATGACCGTCCAGGGAATGATGGCGAGGATGAAATCTAATCCGGCCGAGTACCCAGCTGCAAACATGCTATATCGAATCGTGATCTTGCGGTCCCAACAGGTTCCATGGATGAGGGGGGACCACCCTTTGGCCGCCGGGGTGCACCACACGTATGGCAGTATCGCATTGAAGAAGAGAAACACGTTTAGGGTCACAACGATGCACCACAGGCCAACTTTTACCCACCTGCTCGTGATGCGGAGCAGAGTTATGGCAAATGATGTCTTCGACCAGGCCGCCCCGAGGGAGCCAAACGTGATGGATATTGCCGTCAGGAATTGCAACGTGGTTGGGTCGTTGAGTCCGCTGCCGTCGTGGGTTCCGAGTCCCTTGGATACAGCATATGTTGTTATAATGACATAGCCGAGGAGCATGAACTGGAAATGTGTAAGTGTTATCAAAACACCCAACTCGAGTATAAATCAAAGGACGAAATCTGCTATACACTTACCCATGAAGCCAGCAGCAGGTGGTCATCCCACCACATGCCTCGATGTGCCGAGAATTTTGCATAGAGTCTTGCTCCCAGGAACATTGTGGCGAGCGCGACCAGCATCCAGACGACGCCCACAACCTCTGGCCCAATTGTGCTCAAATCGCCCTTGTGTGTATCGTGCCCATGGCCGTCGTCGGGTGGCGGCCCTATCAGGCTCCAGTCAATGTCGTCTCCATCTCCAGCGCCTGACATTGTTGTTGTTAGTCGTCCTCTTTGTTTGATTTTTCTCGAGATTTGCTTTCTTGTTATTGTTTCGGAAATGACTGGATCAGAGAATCATGAAAGAGGCTCTGCGAGACTAGATTGAAGTCTCTCCAACTCGGCAATGAGCCGGATGGAAGCGAGATGAATGACCTCGTGGCAGCTACAAATTTGGAAAATTCAACAATGACAGATGGGCGTATTCACAAAATCAAGAAAAGAGAACCAGAAGAGGGATGGCTTTATGGGGCAGGTCGGCTTGACATCACCTCGCCGTTTTCAGTATTCCCTCTTCTCGGCTAGCAAGAAGCGGGAAGGGTGGGTATCACAGATGGCAAGTATATGTGTGTTTGTGTGTATGGGTGACAAGGTAACATAGCTCTGGGCCAGCGCTATGGGCGCAATGACTGCTGATGGCTCGTGGGGCAGATTGACGTGCTTGAAGGGTTCTAGAGTTGCAAGCGAGAATGCAGAGAAGTGTGGGCGACAGACATGTGCTCTGACTACGTACCACAGCGGCCATCATCTACCTGCCACCAACCTACTTGTCTGCACGGTTGGGTTGAAAGTGACCCTATCCGATCTCCAGATCTACATGATTCCGAGATTGGCTTTTCTCCACGGGCAATACCCGAAGACCGTCGTGGGTTAGACCAGGGGGGGTACACAAACCCCACATAAGTCTGGCCATATGCCTTCTTTCCCACCAAAACATATAGATTTCATAATATATCTTTAACCTCTGAAACGGGGGAGTAGATTACAAACTCTTAGGCGTATATTTTTTTTTAAGCTAAAAAGGCTATTTCTTATTTTTACTGAATTTTTCCGTGCGTTAGCAAAATATGAAAAATAATCGAAGTTGAAAATATATTAAAAAAAGGCGAATTCCCCGCAAAATAGCATAAATTTGCATTTTCCCATATATAAAAATTTACTTGATTACCGAAAGGTTTATATAATAAATACAAAAGAATCTTTATAAGAGTGCTTAAGTAGTTTTGCACTATAAATGCATTTTTTCTTATTTTAATCCTGCACATTTATCTTAGAAACATATTGTGAAATCTATGAGTTTTGGTGGGAAAGAAGGCATGTGGCCAGACTTATGTGGGGTTATCGTATATATACGCATGCACGGACGCGACGACATCTCGGAATGGGAAGGTTGTTGGAAATCTTGGAACGGTGATTGGGTCTCGAGTGACGCAGCACGTGGAATTCTGTGTCCAACTGAGGAGTAACCTAAAAGTCCCACCAATTGAGTATAGAAGTCCCCGGGGGGGTTGAAGTGCATCGTCGCATAGTAAAAAGAAGTTATGCTTAAAATGTTCTTCTTGTGTGGCTTGTGCAACCCCGCCCGACTCATCACCGCCATGATTGCCATGTAATGGAGATCGTTCTTTCGTCTCATGTTCCTGGGTGTATCTGTGCGACTGTAATGGAAATAAGAGCCTCGAGCTTACGCGTAGCTGCATATTCATAATCTAGATAAAGTCCGCAGTGTTGCAATCAAGTTGGAATATCCTTCTTGGCACCGGAGTCAAATACCGAACTCGAGTACTACGCTGAAATGGAAGCGAATCAATCAGGTGGACTTGATACCAGATAAATACCGAGATAGCCAATCACTCATTGACCATGCAGCATATCGAGTCTTGCACACACACACACACTTGAGAAGCTTACCCAGATCTCAGGAGATGTATGTACTCATTCCAAAAAAAAAAAAAAAAAAAAGCCTTGTCCAATATGACTATCCAAATACCATGTAGAACTCGAAACCCAGGGCGCATTTGAGGATTGATGGCGTCTGTCTCGGAATGTAGCGAAATCGTCTCGTCCTAAATAGCCATGGCGGATGACGCTCCGTATTGGGAACGAGCCGCCGCAGCCGACCATCCAGGACAACAAACTCGACTGCAATCCAGGAACATGGTTATTTTGCAAGACGTCTGTGCCCTGCAGCGAACACGTTCAAGACGTTGGCTGACTAAATAACATGATCAACCACCATGTACTACTAGTAAGCGCAGATCCGGCTCGTGGAATTTACACACAGACCCGTTCACTCATGTGAAGAGCGAGACTTATCATCAACCCTCTCCTCCGCTCGCTTCGTTCTAGATTATGCGAGCGAATAGCATGCACCACAAGATACAACATACCCTTGCCCCCCCCTCCCCCTCCCGTTTTGTAACAGATGTTGATTGTTTGCTTTTTTTCTTCTTCTTCTTCTTCCCATATTTCCGGCGGATTGCGATGCAGTCTTCGAGGTCAGTGCCCTCTTGGACGTCATATGTCCCTCATGTATACCGCGCATATGATGAAGAACAAGCGAAGAACCGAGTGACACATCTTGGGCAAGGCTTTGAATATGAAGACGATGCCTCAATGCTACCTCATTCAATCATGTGTTCTCAGTGGTTCTAATTCCTCAAGTTCCCTGATATAGACCGGGTTTCCTGGTCTGAAGGCTCGCTATCAGGGCTGTCAAGACATCGCTGTTCTGGACTCCTGAGACAAGAACTGATTTCTTACTCTTTTTCCTTTCCGGATCAGCCGCCACAATTTATCTGCTTCAATGCTTCTTTATGTATGAGGTGACGTGTATTGACGCCATGTTGTAGAATGAGCTTCTTATCAATTTTCTGACAGTCATCTTCACGACTACGAATTGACTTGTGAAATATATATACGATTTTGTTGATGGAACCAACCAATCAACTGTAATTACAGTTGCAATGGCAGACAACCTACTCGACGTTGCTCGTTTCTCGGTGCAATGAGTAAGGTCCAGGCGATAAGCAGTGACTCTAGGTCGCCACTTGAAGGCGAACCTTTAAGGCGCGCTCAGTGAAATTGTACAGGATATACTCAACTAGGTTATCTCGACTCACGATGGGAAAACTAGCTCCTCTAATATCAATAGCCGTACTTTTCATTCTAAAGTTCTTGGTCTGTTTGTATATTGGACCGTGCTGTTTGTCCCTACACCAATGTACGTACAGTGGGGCTCCAAAAAAAACGCGAATCCTCCACACGCGTGCATCGGCGTTATACATCGGCAAATGTTCACTTATACGGATTTTTATCAAAAACAGTCTATTTGAGAGGAGAGTAAATACGTTTTGTACAGAAATGAGTGGGCTATACAGTGGGAAATTTAATATCTTGTATACCAGCCCCTGGCGTTGATAATCGCGTTAATACGGCGCGGCATGCTTAATATGACCCGGTTGATGAGGTCTTGTTCGATATCTTCCCAGATATCTTCCGCAACGGTAATTAGCCGTTCTTTCGACTCAAAGTTAGCGGAGAGTGTTGACAGTTCTGGATCCTTTTTGCAGATCCTCTCTTTAAGGCAAAACCACAGATTTTCAATCGGGTTAAGATCAGGGCTGTACGGGGGCCAATCCAGAACGGTGAAGGCCATCTCCTCGAGCCAATCCACAATGCTGTGAGCTGTGTGAATAGGAGCATTGTCATGCATAAAGACCGTGGATGCATCCATTATCGTAGGAAGGTGTTCTTCGAGGATAGACTTATATACTCGTGCCGACGCGCCACCTTTTTTCGATTCGGGGTCCCCGGGAACGGCCACCAGCGCGGTCCGATTTCCATATAGGATTCCGGCCCAGAACATCTGCCCATATTTTGTAGCCTTAGTTTTGGGTTATACGTATTTAGGATCGATCGCGAGGGAGCCTATTTTATTGCAAATCCGTTAGAAATTGCTCGAGATATTCAACTTTGAAATAAGGGGAAAATAAGAGCTGCATGCGTACCGAGGGGCCGGAAAACCCACTTCTGGTGTTGACCTTGGCCACGCTGCACAGAGCTTTCATCTGTGAATAAAACGTTTTTCCAGTATTCAACTGATTTATCCTGCATCGCCCTGGCCCATTGCAATCGTTTTCTGGCATGTTCTTTGGTGAGAAATGGTCGACGAGCTGCGCGGCGGTGCATAATGCCGGCATTTCGGAGGAACCGCCGTACGGTCGGGACAGATACGTGAGGAACCACATCTCTACGCAAAATGGGTATAGAAATGAACGGATCTCGACCGACTGCAACCATTAAATGCCTTTTATCGCGGTCAGAAAGTATGCCGCGGCGGCCACGGCCGGGTCGACTGACTCCCCAATCTTGGGCGCGGAAGCGTTTTCGGATGCCATATACCAGTGACTCGAGAATGCCTTCTTTTTCGGCGATTTCGGCCGCTGGCATGCCGCACTCAAAGCGAACCCATACTCTGTTTCTTAGCCGAGGCGTAGAATGTGTGCGGAACCGCTTGGGATCTTTTTTGGGTGTGCGAGCCATTGTTGAAGGATAGTGGGTGGTATACAAAATACGCGAAATTAAGTTTTGTACGCGACTAGCGTGGAGTTTTGGCGTTTTTTTTGAAAACCGGCTGTACCTATACTATACTAACCTAATATTCTACCCCACATTGAAAGTTGGCCCCTCTGGCCTTGAGCTCAGAACCCCACCAAATTCCCAAGGCTTTCAATTGAGCTTCTAGGTGGTGGAAAGGATCCCCTGCTTCCTTTTTGTACATGTAGAGCCACATTCTACCACCAGCAAACCACCATGTCGCACGCACGCATTGAAGAGGTCTCCGACAGCGACTTGTCAGACCCGTCCGAGGGCGATATTGACGACTTTGTCGATTCTGATATTCTGCGCGCCGTCGCCCCCAAAGCCGCCCCCCAGCAACAACAGCGGCCTCCTCCGCAACAACAGCAGGCCCAGCCCAACAACCTCTTCCCCGGCACCACGACGCCCGGCCCGGGCATCCAGCAGTCCGACGTTGCCGGCTACCAGTGCCTGTACCCCATCTATTTCGATGCGTCAAGGACCCGTGCCGAGGGCCGCCGCGTGCCCGCCCACCTGGCCGTCGAGAACCCCCTGGCGCGCGAGATCGCCACGGCCTGCGCGGCCCTGCGCGTGAGCCCCGTCTTTGAGGCCATGAAGACGCACCCGCAGGACTGGGCGAACCCCGGCCGCGTCCGCGTCAACATCAAGGACCCCAACAACCCCTACCTCAAGGACATCAAGAACAAGCACCACTTGTACATTCTCGTGGCCGAGCACCTGCGCAAGAACCCCACGGGCGAGCGCTCCGCCGGCCTGCGCAACGTCCGCATTCCCGGTCTGCCGGGACACCCCAAGGACGACGAGAAGTGGCCCAAGCCCGCCGTGCCCAAGTCATGGAAGATCAACGAATACGTCCCCGCCTACAGCAGCGCCATGACCGGCGGCGGTGTCAGCGAGAATGCCCTGCGCGACATGATGAGGGAGATGGGCGGTGCTCCTGGCGGCCCTGGCGGCATGGGCGGCATGGCTGACATGATGAACATGTTGGGTGGAATGGGTGGCATGGGCGGCCCCGGTCCGAGCGGAAGTGCCGGTCAGCTGGAAGAGGGAGGAAAGAAGGATAAGAAGAAGGGCAAGAAATAAGTGCATGGTGCTTGAAAGATCATGCATGCATACGAGACATGTGACGCGAGGTTTCAATGGGACCATGATACCACAACCTTCGGACACGAGGTCAAGAAAGTATCTCATTGAACATACCACATACTTGGGAAATATTCGTTTAATAATTCATAACCCAATCCAATCCAGTGGGGCTCTCTTTGATAAAGTAACGAGGTGAAACATTTCTAATGCTACTTTTTTATGTTCAATGTAATCATATAAAAAAAAGTAATATTGGGTATCAATAGCTGTCATCGTCGGTACAAGCGCGGAACGATTAAGCTCAGTACAAATGGGCTGAAGCTGCCCATGGTTGTAGTAGTACAAATCAGAAAAACCTACTTGGTCGCTCTCTTCCCAAATATCAACCAACCAACCCCTTAAACAACAGCAAGCCGGCCCTGGAGACCCTCCCACTCCTGACTCCCAAGGATTTGAACGTCTCCCCGGCCCGGAATCACTTTCCCGTTCTCGCCGGGTAGCTGGATGCGCAACCTCGCGGCTTGCTTCCGCATCAAGGCTCTCTGGTCAGCGTCCTCTCTCCGTCCCGTTTGTGTCTTGGCCACGGTCTTTGCCTTTTCCACCACTGAGTATTGCCAATTCTTCCAGGCTGCAAAGTCCTCTGCCTGCATGGCGGCGTGATGTTGTGGTGTTATGCGAGCCGGGCGCCATGCCATCTTGTCCTCGGGCAGTGTCTTGAGATCGTATACCTTGGCGGTGCCAGCCATCCTGAGAAGCTCATTCAAGACATCCTTGCCTTCCTTGACCACCAGGTTACGGCGTTGCTCAAAGACGGGAGTTGGCTTGATGAGCGGTTCTGACAGCCAGTCGTACGCAGCTTGCTCCTTGGTCCTTGCCTGTTGATTGTCTTGCCGCAGATACCGTACAGCGGCCTGCAGACTCATAATGTCGTTGCGCAGAGCATCCATCTCGCGTTGCGTAGCAACCGCCTGCTCACGGCCAGCCTTGCTTGTTGCATCTGTGCTCAGCACGCGGCTATCACCAGCTGTCTTCTTCCACTGGTCTCTATCTGACTCGAGAGCCTTGAGTTCGCGGTCTTGCTTCTCAATGTCGTCCTTGAGCTTCGCCATGTTCTCCTGGGCTTGAAGCACTTGAGCCTCCATCTCCGTGATTCGGGCAGCCTTGGCTTGCGAGTCGCGGTAACGAGCCTCGAGTGTCTCGATGCGGAGGGTCGAGGTAGACAAACTCTCCTCGCGGACTGCGATAGCGAGACGGGCCTCGTTGTACTGCTGCTTGAGTTGCTGTAGCTCTTCCTCAATATCGACGGGCTTGATCTTTAGTTTCTTGATCTCTTGGGCTCGAAGCTTCCATGGAGATTCAGGCCTATCGAACTCCTGGGTCTGCGACAAGTCGGCACACAATGCCGCAAGATCTGTTACTTGTGTTGTGAGGACGCGAACCCGTGACTGATAAGATCCCAGCAGCTCCGAGTCTTCCACCTTGAACTCGCTCTGGACGACCTTGTGGATGGTCTTTGAAATGTCAGAGTATGTGAGTGATTCAGCACGATCAGCTTCAGTAGTCAGAGCATGCACAGCCACGGCAACCGTCTCTGCCATTTCTGCGAGCCTCTGTGCAGCCGATGCGGCATCCTCAAATGTACTGACTTCTTCTGGGTTCAGCACGAGGCTGCGCTTCTGAAGGTCTTCCAATGACCGCACGGCCTTGGTTACAATGACCTTTGCGCTTCTCGTTTGGCCCATGGCAAGATCCACCTTGACATCAAAAGACTGCCATGGCTCATCAATTTCCATCTCCGTGTTCTGGGGCAGCACTCTCTGAACCATTTCTTTCATGGCAGCGAATGTAGTTGCCGCGGATTCGAGGTAGCCTTGCATAAGTGTAGTCTGCATCTGCATATTGTCCGCCATGGTCGCGGGGTTGCCAGATATATGCTGCTCAGCCATGTGTTCCAAGACCTTTGTGGATCGAGATAGCACCTCAGCATAGTCCTTGAGCTGCAGCTCGCCGGATCCCTTTTGCAGATTGTCAATCCACGAGTTTAGCTTGGTGTCCACAGGTGCCAATTCCCAAGTGGCGCCGTTGTAGGCGGCAAACTCTTCCAATGAGCAGTGCTTGATATGGTTGACAAAGCGCTTGCACATGGAAGAGACCCAGGTGAGCTTGGTGATGGCGTTGCTACCGATGAATATATCGTCTTCATGACCAGCATCGGCCCGTCCACTGATGCGCTCCTTCACAAACATGGCCAAGAGGTCAGACTTGACCCCCATTTGCATGAACTTGAGCAGTGCTTGTACAGAGTCCTTGTCCTGTTCGTAGCTCTCTGGCAGGAAGAGGGTGACGATCTCAAGGTGCAGTTTCGCCTCGGCAGCTTGCATGCGTTCGAGCTCCAGCTCAATTGTCTTGGCCTGGGTCTTGGCAGCGTTGATTTGCAGTTTCTGGTTCAGATCGAGCAGCTCTCTCGACTTGCTGTTGATCTGTTCTGACTCTGCTTCATTCATGGCGTTCGAAGCCTCCATATCCTCCAGATCCTTCTGGAGATTTGAGACGAGCTCCTTGAATCTGCCAATCGTGTACTCCAAGTCATCGAGTTCTTTGTCTTGGTCCACAATTTGCTGGGTCAGCTTGAAGATGTTGCTGTCCTTGGACTCGATGATCTTCTCAAGCTCCTTTTCATGCTCGAGGTGATTAACCTCGAGCTCATCGCTGATCTCTTTCAACTCCTCGAGATCCTTGATGTTCTCACGAAGTGTCGCAATGACATCGCTTTGTGCTTGGTTGTCCTCGCTGAGCTTTTCAATCATCTCCTCAGCGCCGAGTGCATCTTCTAGCTGACCCTTAAAATGCTCGCAACGCGCCTCGGTTTCCAGGATCTTTTCCTTGGCGATTTCGTATTCTTGTTTGACATTATCAAAGTCATCGAGGTCACTCTTCAGCGCCTTGATCTCTTCGCTCGTCTTTTCATTTAGCTGCTCAAGCTTGTCGTGCAGAGTGATGATGGCTTGATAGTACAGTTCGTTCTTCTTCTGTAGGGCAATCCAATTGTCACTGGTCCTCTCTTCTGCCGTTACATCCTGTTCGAATTCGGTGTTCTCCAGACGCAAGACTTCGTTCTCCAGCTCCAGCTCTTCCAGTCTCGACTTGATCGAGTCCAGCTCTAGCTTGTAGTGCTCAGACTCCTCCTCGGCCACTTCTTTTTCGACGAGCAAGAGTTCCATGGTGGTCTCATGTTCAGCCTGGAGGTCGTCTATGCTGGCTAGCCTGGCGTCCGCATCCTGGAGGCGTTGCTTGGCGTGGTTGGCTTCTTGTTGTGCCTTCATAAACTTCTCTTCAACCTTCTTGTTCACAGTCTGGTATCGTGTGATCTGATCTTGCAGCTTTTCTAGCTGCTTCAACTGCTCCTTGTCTTCTGATCTTTTGGATTCGAGGATTCGTAGCTTGGTCTTCAAGTCTTCATTCTCCCTCATTGCGGCGCTGTTAGCAGCAGCTGATGGTCTGCCCGCGGTTGTAGAAGTTCTCGGCTTGGAAGTTGTGGCTGCTGCAGGTCCGTACCCGCCTGCTGTGAGCCGATCCAAAGCCTGTGTCCGTGCCTGTACGGGACTGATTTCTTCGTCGCTCTTGTTGGGTGAGGTGAGATTTCCAGGGCTATCAACTCCTGATGAGTCTGTAGACCGTACTCGCCCGCTCGGGCTCCGGGTGGTTCCAGCACGGCCCGCGGGTGCTAGTGATTGGCGACCGGAAAGTGGCCTTCCAGGCGTAGGTCTTGTTGCGGAGCTGGCACCAGGAGCCGCATTTGACGGTCTCCTCTTGGAAGGATCAGGAGCAGCGGGAGGGCCCATAGATGACCTTGTGGCTCCAACTGCTGGCCGGGTGGCCGAGGATAGCTTTCGGGCTGGTGCGTTCGAAGGGGTGCCGGTGCGGGATGTTGAGCCTGAAGAGGCGGCAGTAGCAACATTCGGTCTCTCGGTCCTAGTGGGGGACTTGATAACAATACAACGTCAGCAAAAATTCCATTCCTTTCTGTGCTGCTAGCTTGGATGATTGATCACATACTCGTGCGATGCTCGAAGGCCGGGACCTAACCGGGCTGGGGCTTGGAGCATTGATACTCTTGCGTCGAGCAGCCGTTGGATCAGCCGCAATGGAGGATGGTCGCTGAGGCACGACGCTCGTTCGGCCAGAGCGTGCGGCGGTCGGCCTTGGCCGGGGAGGGGGGGCCTCCTTGATGACAGTAACGACTCCAGGCTTCACGAACATGCCCCTGCCCATCTCGCACTCAAAGTAGCGTATGCCCTGGACGGAGCCATCATTCTTGCCAGTGCCATCTTCCAGCTCCAGGCCAATCCATTCACCGGGCGAGAAGCTGGTGGCGCCGACGAACTTGACAATGGCGAGTCGGCCATCGGCATTGATCTCGACGGTCTGCCCGACCTTGAATCGCGACATGGTGGGCAAATCCGATGCAGCTGATGTTTAGTTACTGTGCATGTTTTTCCAGGGGTAAACAGTGGCACACAATTGCCTGCTGCTGCTGCTGCTGCTGCTGATGCCGCTATTTCTGTGCTATGGCCAGAGCCTTGAAGCTCGTGGGATGGTTGTCGGTGGTTGTCGAAAGCTGTCGTTGCTCGGTACGAGCTCAGACGCGTTCCTTTGTTGGTTTCGCGGACCCCCTACATACGTACCTAGCTACCCAATACAGTGTACCCCTGACGTACAGTGCTTCTGGGAGATATTCACACTAGACACTGTATCATACAACTATTGCCATAATAGTGCGGCCCAACGTGCCAATTAAAAAGAGACATTTTTGACAATTATTGGAACCTGGCCATGATAAAAGAGAGAGATAAAATAGCTCTGTCTCATACTGAGTTTGTTGGCAATAAACAATCCGCCAAGTGCCCACAGATCGCACAGCTAGTATTTGTAAGACCCAGCATTCCTGCCTACCGCAATGTAGGCAAGTATATCACTCTACCAGATTATTGCAAGACAGGTAATCGAATCTCTTAAATTTTATTCAATATCACTGCTTTAATATTTATTCAAAATCTTCCCTACCGAGAATATCATTACTGCGCTATTGTGCTAGACCAACAAAAGGACCACCGTATTTTTGAACTTGTATCAGTGGTCTCCTCTTCCAGCTCGAGCCATATCTGATCTTCTCTTTTTCCTCACTGATTCTTCACCAACAAATAGAAGAGAATAAAACATGACCTAGCTGGAAATTCGGCCAAACTGCCCATTCCGCACCCATTCCATAATCTCAAAACCCAACCGTCGCTCCAGCCTCTCGTCCACTACTGCCGTTTCGTTCCCAGCGCTCTCGGGGATCCTGACGACCAAGACACCCGCATTGGCAAACTCGACGACTTGATTGACCCTCATCTCTAGCTCTGTGCAACGCATGATATATACGGTGAGGTCGGGGCCAACAATACCACGCCACATGGTGGCCACCCAGCGCCAGTGGTCGTCTGGCCGATACGCATCGGCAATGTGCAGGGCAGCGGCGGACCGGTCCGAGGCCTTGAGGGAATAGCCAGCACTGAGAACAGCGACCGGCAGCGTGTGTACAGATTGGTGAGCGCCATGCTTCGGTCCGGGTGTATTTACAGTACTCATCGTGATTGATCCACCCGCCGACGACGACGACGTCGACGACTTGTCTCTGTCTCCTCCTGGCCCGTTTGCAGACTGGCCAGCATCCGATGACGGAAAGTGCGTGATGTATTTTACCAATTCCTCTGACAAGCGATGCCACTTGAGCATCTGAACTTGGAATTTCGCTACAGGACTGGTGAAGTTGAGGAAATCGGCTTGAGACTCTCCATGGCTTCTCGATGATGCATCGTCTCCAGTGATTCGGCTCCCGGAAAGACTGGTAGATTCCGCGCCGTCCCATATCTTGACACTACACTCTCCGGACACCGATAATGCTTTCTCGACAACGGACGTGATTTCCTTTAGAATAGCCCGGGAGGCTCCTTCGAGGGCAATGAGGGGACCGCGCACTTCAAAAGGCAAAAGACTACCGCCGGGGTTCTTGAGCGGTGGACTAATGGCACGGAGCATTTCGAGTCTGTTAAGCCACTGCGGTCGCTGACCCGGTGATGGTGGATGCGGTCCGGAAGATAGCGGCGGCGGCTGTTGTTGCTGTTGTTGGTGGGTGTGAGGAGCCATGATTCCCAGCCCTGTCGGACCTTGCGTTGAAGTCACCATTGCACCAGAGTCCGAGGTCATGCTCGGCGAGTCGGGCATCTGTGTCTGGAGGGGCGGCAATCGTAGCGATTCGTCAAATCCAGGAATCGTGCCATGCGAAGAAGAGATTTGCATTGGCACACCACCGGCGTATGACACGCTCGGCCGTGGCGGAGGCTGCATATGAGCTTGGTGATACGAACTCTGTTGGTGCTGCTGTTGGTGCTGGTGCTGTGATACTCGAGACATGGGGTTGGGTCCATAGCCCATGGTAGACATGGGTGAGCCGGTTGTACTCGATCGCTGCTGGATGTACCTGGGCTCTGGAGGAAGCGGCATATATGTCAGTGGAGGGCTGACGGGTATGTATCCATTATTGTAACGTGGTCGCTTGTGAGGTGGTGCTGTAGGGCTCATGATGGCATAGTCCTCATCAATGTCTCTGAGATATGGCTGTGTGTATCTTCGGCCGTGCGAGTCTACACTCATCATGCTTGTATTGCTACCACGTCTCATTGGATGGTCCGTCTCAATGACCCTGGCATTGGAATTATGCACCATTGTCCCTAGCGTCACGTAGCCACCGCTCATAACATGAGCACCAGGTGGAAGACCCGCGGCCATGGGTTTTGCGAATGCCGGTGTCATGGCTGCGCTGAACGGTGTACTTGGTGTTCTGGGGGTCGCGATGAATCTTCCGCCGCACTTTTGACAGCGGCCCGGGTCGTCAGCCGAAGCACCGGGCGCCGGTTTCCCACTGGTTCCGTTCTTACCGCCTCGCCGTGGCTGATAGCGGTAGTCCGGATACTGGCGCTGGTGCCGAAGCTTTTCTTCTTCGGCCAACCGTTTCCAAGAGTCCTTGACCTCCTCGGGCTGCTCACGCCACTTCTCGCCAATGAGCTTCGATATTTCCGGATTCGCAAGACCAGGGTGCTGTGCGGCGACCGAGGCCTGATGATGTTGACGGTATAGAATGAAAGCTGTATTTACACGTCAAGTATTGTCAGCCGTCTGAATATTGAAAGGTGCAAGTCGTTTTCAAGGCAAGTGAGTTGCAAAGAAGGCATAAGAAGAAAAGTTTCCACCGGTCATCTCCTCTTGTTGATGGGAGGACGCGAGGATATTACTATGAGAGTCTTTGATTGGGTAATAAGTGTGTGGACATCATAATTCTTTTCCTGTAGAACCCTTTTGACCGCACAACGGGAAGAGCGACAAAGAAGTGTGTCCCAAGGACTCTGTTTGTCCGTCTCAGGACACGGGTACTGGGCAAGACAAGCGCTTGCTTAGCCGTCAATGTAATTAAATTGCATAGAGTCCAGTAAATGAGGTTTGAAACCAGTTGGCGTTGCCATGCAGCCGAGCCGAGAATCAAGTCGAAAGTAGCATATTGTGCAAAGATTCGATTGAAGTATCAAACAAATACGAGAAGTGGGAATAGAAACAGAGGTGTGGAACAAAACGAAGCAAGGAGAGAAAGCAAGAGGGGAGAAGGACACAAGACTTGAAATAATACATACCATTTCTTGGTCTCGGTACCTTGGGCGCTTTGGTACAGAGACAAATGAGCTCTCTCGGATCACCAGGACCCCCAGCAAAAGCCAGCGACCGCGAGCTCTCTGGCGTGTATAAATTGAGTTCTTGATTTCTTGGGTATTTGTTCGCTTCGTCAATAATATTCGGCGCCGACCTCTTGCGAGAAACCGATCGGTTTGAATCGGGGAACGCAGTCGAGGCACTATGATCAAAGGAAGAGTCTTGCTCATTCCCTGCCAGCCCTGTTACCGAAGTGATCAACGGCGTTGGTCGTCGAGGAGGTTCTCGCTGGACTGTACCACCACTTTGATGGTGTTGTAGGTGTTGATAGTCATCTCGAGGATGTATCGATTCTGTATGTTGCGGAGATAGTGTTCGAGAACTGTCGTCTGTTGCCATTGTTATACCGGCAAGAGTTGATCCCGTCCGTTGATCTGTATCTTGACTTGTATATTGGGCTGCAGGAGGAGTAGTCGATGGGATTGAGGAAGAAGACTCTAGACCTGTGGACGAGCTAGATTTCGAAAGGGACTGTTGTTGATTGTGAAGGTCAAGCTCGGCTTCAGAGGAGTCGCCCGTCTCAGCAGAATTGGTCATATTGTTAAAATAATGCTTCAAGGAAAAGGCGGGGACAACAATTGAACCATTCCCTGGACATGGGCGAGGCAAGTCAGACAAACGGGTGAGCTGTAACAACACAGCAGACTGACTATGTGACCTGGAAATCGAGTTGCTCCAGGGATAATGTATGAAATGCTCGGATGCAGACAAAAGAGAAAATAATGACAATTGCAGACAATTGGAAAAATTATCGACTGACTCAACAAGACTGTGCAATTATAATTTCCATTATTCGAGATTGAGGGACGTTAGAAAAGAGAGAGGCTCATTCAAGACGGAGAAGGAATAAAGCAGGGACAGGAGAGACAGTGGGATGGGACTAGGACCAAGGGCTTGTTGGCGGATTGTATTGTTCGTCTTGCTTTGTGGGCAGGCTTGTTCTCTTCGCTCCGTTCATGGCGCGAATAGACAATGATCCTAAGGGGCTACTGGATTCAATGACCTTATGCCTTTGCTACGTTTGACATGGACGTGCCCTGCCATGCCGTGCCACTTTTTGCATTATTCGAAAAGCAGACCAGGACGGGGTTATGAATCAACTCCAAGCTACAAACAAGGCAATGAACTCAAAGCCACGAGTGACGGACAGAATGGATAGATAGCAATTGACACTACAGCATTACTTGTTGGCTCGGTGGGCCGTCACGCAGACGATACAACGCAATGCTTTACAACCAGTGGCTGATCAGTTGTGGTTGTGTCTCGGGAAAAGTATACTAGTGCAGATGAAACTTCGTCCTCTTCTTTGTCCAGCGTTTGCAATGACTGCCGCTTCCGGTTTCCGCCAAAAAGAAGACAGGCCTTGCTAGTCTCGTATCTTTACATTCAAATGAGTAGTAATATGATAGCTCAATGGGATTCAAGGATCTGTCTAGAATTCGCTACGGTGGGTGAACAAGTGACCCATTGTGTAGGCCACTCTTGAAAGAAACAGCATGCCTTCTCCATATACGCGGGCATTTCTACCAAAGAGAAAGACAATAGTACATGTCAAACTCAATCTCAAAAAAAAAAAAAAAAAAAAAAGAATGGCGAAGCATTGGGATAACCTACAGTCGCCCATTGCAACGTTTCTCGTGTTCGATTTACCGTGTACGTGTACTACTCTCAAGCTGGGTATAATTATTCAATGGTAGCAAGACGCAGAAGTATGCGACATCCGGAACGAGGCTAACTACCTTGAGGTAAGGCAGATGGTGTATAGTCACTTTTTTCATTGTTTAGCAGAGACGCCTGATATGTGAGAAATGTCTCTGGTTGAGCCGCAAGCGACCAACCAGAATGCGTTTATTGAGCGAACACCCCGTTGCTCAACGGGGCAAATAGCATGCATTAGACTCCGAAACACCATAGCAATTTTGCTCTCCATGACCAGGTTTTCCCTTGATTCGCATTACAACATGTAGCAGGCTTTTGTGGTTGGCAAAATATAACGAGCCCGCTCTCCCGCCCGTTGTCTTAGACGTTCCGTCTACAACGCTGACAACGACAACGACAACGACAACGACAACGACAACGGCTTATGTAAGATAGCCCTTGCCAGTCTCGCCGCTCAAAAGACTTGCGCTGCGCCGTGCGTCGAGGAATAATTCCTCGCACTCGGCAACATCCTTGATGTCGATTTGACTGCGGCCATTGACACGAGCAAGAATACTATTTTCGAGTATCATGTCAGTAAATAGAGTCATGTAACAATTGATTAGAACTGGACAGCTTCCGTACCTTGCAGGAGTCAACAATTGCAGGCAATATCTCAGACTGATTCGGACACCGTGCTCGGCGATCTTGTCGATTGCAGCATCGCTAATGGCAACACCCTCCGTTGTCGACCGAATGCGCACAATTCTCTTGATCTCGTCGGCATCGTAAGGTGTGGTGGGAATAATAAGCAGGCGCGCCAGGAAATCCGGAGGAATGCCATGAGCAGCAATAGTGCCATCCGTTCCGCGGATTGTGCACATGCCTCGGTTTGATGCCAGAACCACAATCGGCGAAATGGAGGTCTCAAGCGCTTTGTTCAAGTAAGTGAAGCACTCGATATCCAACATGTGAGCCTGTCGAGTGTTAGCTGGGTCTGTATGATCACCGCAAGGACAGATATGATCTTCTAATTTAGCCTTACCTCATCGATGAACAGAACACCGGGAACGAGCTCTGCCACACCCTGATCGATGTATTTGCTGACAACCTTGTTGATCTCGCCTCGCAGCTTGTCCGTGATCTCGGTCGCCTTGGGCTTCATGAGCTGGCCCATCATGCTCATGATATCCTGGCCTCCTTGGGGACGAGCATTGGCAACATCGAGATCGTGCAGGGTGACATCTTGTACAATCTCCTTCTTCTTGTGAACCTCGCCCTTGGGAATGGGGACGTACTCCTCAGCTTCCAAGTCAAACTCGGTGGCGTAGGCATCCGACCTTCCCACTCGCTTGCAAGCACCCGTGTTGGCCTCAATGTAAATGACGTCTCCCACTGTGACTCTTTCCTTCTGAATGGCCTCGTAAATGCTAGGATCCAGTCGGAGCTTCTTCTGGCCCTTTGCGCTCTTGAGTCCGATCAACAGCGTGCTGATCGTCTTGCCGTATCCTCCTAACGGGTTCTCGGCCTCCTCGGGGGTGAGCTCCGTCACTTCTCCCTCATAAACCTCCTTGGTTTCCCGCACCTTCAGGCCAATGGCTCTTCTGAAGTTCTCCATCAAGATCTCCGTCTTCTTCACCTCGGTCGAATAGATTTCGCTGCCTACAATGGGGCAGAATGGGATCTTGGTTCCGAGTTCGTGGCTGAGAGCAAGGGCAAGGGCAGTCTTGCCAGTGCCAGGTCCTCCGGCGAGCAGGACACCACGTCCGGCCATCTTCTGGGCCCGGATCAGATCGACAACCACACCGGCAGCCTGTTGTTAGATACATCTGTTAGTCGCGGGCGCAACTCCAAGTGAGACGATGCGCGGCAGCAATACGTACTTCTCTTGCGCCAACCTGGCCGACGAAGCCGCCGGCCTGCTTCTCGGCAGTGCCATCTGACTTGAGACCGAGGCCTTTGATATGTGTATGCGCGGCAGTGCGGTTCTCGCGGTTGTTGCCCTTGACTTCGCTAATCTGGACCATCTTGAGAATAGAACAACGGGGTCGAACGTGGACCGATCAAAGATGCCTTTTTTTTTCGATCTGGTGTTATGAGAAGTGGCGTGGCTGCTGGTAGCAATGCCGATTGGTGGTGATGATGATTGAGCTCAGCTGCCGCGTGAAAGGGAAGTTTGCGACTGCTGGAAGAGGCTGGCGAGCTCGAGCTTTCGGTTTGTCGCAACAGTCCTGGATTGAATTGATGACCGGGGCCTTTTTTGGAGCTAGAGCAAGCTCGCGAATCTTTTGCTGGTGACGCGCCGCGCTACCTTTCTTATTGTGGCGCGAAGAAAAAGAAAAAGGTGACTGCGCCACATGTTCAGTTGCAGGCAACATTGAAGGCACAGCACTATATATGTAAGTACCTGACCTAGGAAGCTACCAGCGGAGTACGTATGGGCAATACATTCCTGCCTCAATGTAAACTCGCTACAGTACATTACCTATGTGTTCATGTTACATGTAACATTGCAACACCAACACCAACACCTCTAAATTGTCATTGTCGGTGTATACTCTGTACTGTTAACAGCTTCGCATGCTATCGATCTATTCATTTCTTTCAGAATGTATTATTCTTTTATAGTGCGCAAGGGTATTACAGAACTTTGGCACATTACAGGCGCTGAGCAGCGGATCTTGTATTGATTTACAATCGAGCACCTGGCGCTGGAGCTTCTTGGTAAGTTTCATGGATTTTGGTGCTACTGGAGTTTGATACTCGGTGCGACACTCAAAGAGACACTTGGTTCGATAATTTGCAGCATCATTCAAAATATTTCATTCACTATGTACATGATAAATTCGACAGATTTGTACGCAACAACGTAGCAGTAAAAGAAAGGAATCGTATTCCATCAATCTGCCTCTTTCAAGAAATCCACAAGCCAAAACTCTGTTCCGAATGATGGCTCATTCAGGTAGCTAGCTACTGCAGCTCCTTTACCAGAGCTTGGCAGCATCAACCTGCTGCTTGATAAAGGCGGCACCCGAGGGGACGCTGGGGCGGTAGTTGGTGTGGGCGGCAGTGATGTCGAGGGTGCCGTTGCAGACGAGGTCGCCCTCGTTGCAGAACACCTTGGTCTTGCTGGCCGCAATGTTGGGGATCTTGTTGCCGTCCTGCTCGTAGTACGTGTCGCCAAAGGTGACGGCGGCGACAATGTGCGACGTCGTGGCCGTCGTCAGCGTCTTGAGCGCCGCGTGCACCATGGCCGCGCCCTGGCTGTAGCCCGCAATGACAATGGCGGCGTCGGGGCACTTGGTCGCGGCTCCGGCGAGCTGCGTGCCCCATTTCGCCGCGTACGCCTGCGGGCAGCGTCCGTCCTCGAAGTTTCCATCGAGACTGGCCGGGTAGTCGACACCTTGGACGTAGAGGCTGGTGCCGTAGTATGCGCTGACAGCCGTGGCTAGCTGCTGTCCGGGCATGTCACCCTGTAGCCATGCGATTAGTCATATGAGTATTCATGGTGTATACATGTAGTATCGGTAATCACTCACGACGTTGCCAGACTGAGTTGTTCCACGGGCAAAGAACAGAAGAACATCGTTGCAGCCGTTCTGGGTGTACTCGTTGGAAGTCGTTCCGTAGGTCTTGCGCGCATGCAACTCAGCCTCGATGGGGCTGGCGCTGGCGACGGCTACCAGAAGACTGGCAACAGCTGAGACGGTGAACTTCATCTTGTTGTTTCTGAACCGATTCAACAAAGATATACCTGAGAAATGATTGTCTGGTGGTTCAGGATTTGGACTCGCAGCAACTCTTGACGACTAGAGCTCGATTCTGGTGCAGGGCTGGACAAAGACTCCATGTATTAAACAGATGCAAACAGTCGTGATTCATATATAGTTATACCTCAAATCGACCCGCCGGCATATATTGTTCAGCCGGCATCCATATGCACATTGGAGGACTATAGCCTTGACAGGGAAAGTCGGTGGCCGCATGGCTTGGCGCCTGCCCGATCCGGATATTGCCCGAGCACCATCCGGGCCTTGGAAGCCCGGGGACAACGGCTCAAGACCGAGAAAAAGATGCAGTCAGGAACATGGCGGAGATTGTCGATTGGTGTCAAAATAAGCTTTTCCGCCTGGTTCATCTATATATTTCCCCTTCGGGTCATTTCTCCTGCAGCTGTGGCACTGCAACACATGGTAGCGTTGTTCTGACAGAGAGTTTTTGGAAACCACCTCGCTGGTCAAGACAGGGGTCTCCCACTATGTCTCTCTTCTTGCTTGTCCCGCGCGGAGGAGCACCGTTGCTACCACAGAATCATGAAATCGAGCCCCGCGGGGCTTGATAGACACTATAGAGTACTGTAAAGAACGGTCTAGCACGCCGGAGTCGACTGTCAGTTGACCCGAGATCATTCTTGGCGCATTTACAAAACATTATCGTCAGAAAGGGCGAGAAGAGATTCCAGAAAATCATTGGTTGCATCTCTTCACAGACAATGACTTGCGCGATTAGAGCTGATCTGTAGCCACGATTGAAGCGCTCGAAATAGACTCGAATGGAACACAAAATCGGGTTGAGAGGACGAGATTGCGAGATACCTCGGCTCTCCTCGCCGCGAGGTTTGGAAATTCCCAACAACTCTGTGTCACTGATTTTGATGAGGTTGCCAAGATTTGAAAAAGAGAGGCCCGGCCGACCAGTCTACGTGTTGGGTAAGAGGTACGGCATGCCTATCCTACGATCTGTGTTTAATTCTGGAGGAACATTTTTCAGATGAAATTGGAACGTGCCTTGAGGAAAAGAGGCGCGAGTTATGAACCAAAGAAACTTGTAGAGTCTTAAATAAGGTAGTGACTTACAATGTTCTGCGACGTCATTTTCAAATGGCTTATACGTGAATACGCAGAGAATGGTAGTTGAAAGACTACGATTTGAAGAGTCACGATCATACGGGCGCATATACTATAGCTAGAGTTTTATTTATACTACAAAATACTATAAGGAATAAATAAACGCTGTCCCGTCTATGGTATTTTGCACATCAAAACGCCTAAACTCGCCTGTACCAAGAAGACACGAGTAACAAACCTGCTGTAGCCACCGTGGAATGCATTCATGAGCTGGTGTATGGGAGGAAATAGCTGAATGACAGAAAGGGGGATAACAAAAGAGACTTTAAGCGAGGGGTATCTGTTCCAGCCTGTCGTATTTTACAAGCTTACTCTCACAATCTTCATGCAGCCGAGTGCGGAGTGGTCGCACCAATGGTCTTACAGTCGTCTCTCTACTCCGAACGGTGACTCCCATTGATTTTTGGTGCGCTAACGTTCTTGTTCACGCCATTGGTCATTTCACCCGCCAGGCGACCGAATTGCCACTCAGGCAGTGTAATTCCAGTCTGCTCGTTGATTGTGGTCATCAATGGGGGCAGCATCTGGTAGACGTTGCGCATAGTGGCGGCGCTATCCTGAGTGGCTCCATCGCCAGCAGCACCCGTGTTCCAGACACTGATCTTGGGCTCCAATCCACGAATTGCCTCAGCGTTGGCACGGGCGAGTTCAACGTAGGTGCCCTTCTCGATCATCATGTACTGCAAGAGACCGGCGGGGCCACCGAATGCTTGGCCTAGCCTACCGTACGCCTCTGCCATGGCAGCTAGACCCTCAGCTTCCTTCAACTTCTCCTGCAGGCGTGCTTCGGCGTTCTTGACGGCAGCAAAAGAGTTGGCCTCGGCGTCCGTCTTGGTACCGTAGGCTGAAGCATCAGCGTGCTTCGTCAGCCGGTTGTAGTCTGCTGTTGCCTGAGTCTCGGCATCGATCTTGGTCTTGTAGGCTGTTGCGTCTGTAGCTCTGGTGGTCTGCTCAAACTTGGCTTGGGCATCCACAGTAATTTCGTAGGCCTTTGCATCGGCCGCCTGTTGCTGAGACTCCTTCTTGATTTGTGCCTTGACCAGATCTGTTGCACGCAGACGCTCAAGTTCGGCAGCGGCACGCTTGATCTCGACCTCTTTCTTGAGATCTTCATCCTTGGACTGGGTGGCTCGGTTGGCCTCGATGCGGGATAGTTCGACATCTCGGTTCAGCGCTGCCTCTTGGGTCTTTAGAGAGGCCACAGCACGTGCGCGCTCGGCATCTCGCTCTGTCTTTTTGACGGCTGTGTCGGCATTGATCTTGGCAATCTCCTGCTCTTGTGTTCCATGGCGTTCTGCCTCACCGACATTACCCCTGAGCTGTGCATCGGCTACGTCTATTCTTGCTTGGTTCGTTGCTCCCTCATGAGCCTTTTGAGACAGCGACTGGAAATAGACAGAGCCCTCGGCATCTTTCAACTCCTTGACGTTGGCGTTGTAGATCTTGAGACCGAACTGGTCAAGCTCTACTTGGATGTTGCGGAAGATGCGGCGCTTGAACTCCTCTCGCTCGGTGAAGATCTCCTCCATGGTCATGCTCGACACGAGCACACGGGTTTCTCCCTCGATGATACCCTTGACAATTTGGTCTAGGCCATGTCTGTTCTGGCTTTTGGCGCTTGTCTCAGACTCGGCTAGGAGCATGGCAAATTTCATCAGAGCATCTCCACGATCCTCGTCATTGGCCAGGTTCCCGGCCTCTTGAGAGGGGTGCTTTGGAGCTCCCTTGGCATTGGCGCCGCGGGCATTGACATCTGGACCAATGGTAAAGACGACAGGCAAGAGGAATTGAAGCTTTTCCTTGGTCATTGCTTGCAAGTTCATGGCATAGTCGTGAGGTTGGACGCTATATACACTCGATTAGATGATGTCGGGATATCAGACAGGGCGGAGAAGCTACCTGAAACGTTTGCATCTTTGAAATGGCCACACCCAAGCTGTCTTTGTAATGAGGACATTCTTGATTCCCATGCCAGTAATGGCCAGGTACTCATCGGGGTCAGCGATTCTGTACGACATTTTGCCGGTTGTTTAGCTGTTATAGATAGAGAAAAAAAAGTCTCGTCAAGTGTTTTGGGGGATAATGAGGAGTTGCTAAGTACAGGAGATATGAAAAGTGCAGAGTGAACAAAGAGTGGTAAAATAAAGAGGAGTGGCAAGATTTTCGAGGAGAGCTCCCAATATAATATCTGCTGAGTCACAGCCGAGAGGCAAAGATAGTTTGATGTTTGGCTGAAACGACTGGGAGTTGTGCCGTGAGTGTGATTGTATGGAGGACGGACGGCTCTGTGCTACGTCCCCAGATGCGGGAACGGCGAAGGTTTGTTTCGGAGCTGTGTACTGTGTAGGTATGTATCAAGGGAAGTCGCTGGATATAATCAACGGCAAGAGCAGCCGAATTCGCGAATGGCTTCTATGGTATGTATATAAGAGGGGACAACCTGATGCAAGCGGCATTTATATCTCGCCTTGCCCTTTTGTACTCACTCATCCTTGCACTCTAGATTATTCCACGTTCTCTATACTCCTCTGCTTAGAAAGAATTGATTATGAACTTGGTTAGACTGCCGAGTATCGGGGAGCCCCCGAGGCTGAACGAAGAGGCAGACATGACAGCCGGGAACGCCTCTCGGTGGCTATGGACGGTTTGGCATCTCGGAACAATTATCAAGGTCACAAGCCTGCCCAAGGATTCCATGTCGTCGATCTCGGATGTTTCAAGGCACATAATGCATTAGATACCTAGACAAAGACCAGCCGTAGGCCACCTGATCCAAGCAATTTGCTAGCGCGTCTTCCGGGCTTCTGGCGCCGCGCTACCTTTGTTTGGTTTAATCCTTCAGTGGCAAGTGGCTGTGAACAATGACTAAGATGGATGATGGGGGTAGATCATATGTTTTATGATATGGTTCCATCCGGGAATAAGGCGTAATTCGCGCTTTCAGGCACACAGACTGACAGTGACCACGACTGCGCCAATTACAGACTTCACAAGCACTAAACCATGCAAAGGCTTTTCAACAATCTCGGGCAATCACAGATTGTGCGTATTCATGCTCTTTTCTTCACGGAGGTGCCGTCATTGCAACAATGATAAAGGTATCCACGAAATGCAACAGAAACGGGAAAAGTCTACCTGAATACCCAACTAGTAGTTAGAATTCCTGGGGGCTGCTACGAGTGACAGAGCAAGAATGTAAATGCTCAGAGGCCTTTGTCAGAGCCGTGTACCCGTCTTGGGTAGGTAGGCAGGTAGGTAAGAAAAATGGTCACAACATGCCGATACTCCGCCACTGCATATCATAGATCCTCCAAAGTGCACAGATGAGGCAATTGTTAGCGTAAATGGCTTTAAGGTATGTCGGTACTACTCCCTTTTACGTCGACCGAGAAGAATCAGCTGTTCCAAACTAGAGACGTAATAGTACATGCCTGCCTGCTGCCTATTTCCGAGTCTTTTTGGTCAATGACTGCCATTATGCAGTATGCGTGTATGATACTTCAACCTCTCCCTTTAAGTCCCACCTTTGGGTAAGATCGTGTCTTGGCAGAACAGCACAGCCTAGCAACCTGAATTAGGAGTCCGATAGTGTAGGTTCGTGGTGAGAAATATTGTTAGATAAGTGCTAATAAGCGCATAATGACTAAGAACCAATCTTTTGTGGTGCAGTGGTAAAAACCCCACCATTTGACAATTAAGAGTCTCACTGCCTCCGCCGACTAAAACTTGAGCGTAGAGGTCAAAGGTTCAAATCAAGTGTCGACCACCTAACCAAAAATAACAGCAACGTAACGGAGCATAAAATGCAAATGGAACCAAGTTCTCCAGCTCGCCCGTAAAAAGACGTCCAAGCTGAGGGGGTGTGTTAGATAAGTGCTAATAAGCGCATAATGACTAAGAACCAATCTTTTGTGGTGCAGTGGTAAAAACCCCACCATTTGACAAATATCGTACTAGAGGGTCCAAGCGTCGTTCCTTTTGCGGCCCCTCTACAAGTAGAGGGCACATTAATTACGGGACACCACCATAATTGACGGGACAGCAAACATACGGTCCCCACCTAATTTCCCACCAAAATCACCACTTTTTATATAGCAATTATCCATTATAATAACAACGAATACCACCATATTTTATAGCAAATAATAACGGATTTTAGTATTTTCTTAATTTATAATTATTAATTAAAATAAATTATTAATTCCTAATTAAGAAATCTAAAACATAAAAATAACTATTCTTAATTGCTTAGAAGTATAATCGTAACTGCTATAGCTTAAGGGGGCTGCTAAACAATTCTTCCTCCTTATTTTCCTCGTAATTAGGCTCACTATTAACTTCGTCTTCATAGTCGTCCTCATCGTCGTTAATAATAAATTCGACCTCGTTACCACTAATTTTGCGTAATAGGATAGGCGTTTTCGGGAGGAATAAAATGCTTAAATTTATTAACACTAATAGCGATAAAAACGGCGCTAAAATATTAATTTATAAAAGTGGCTTAGCGGCTATTTTAATAGCCTAAATTAAAAGCTTAAAAGCTTTTATATCTATAATCCAGGCTGGCTGCTTAGGCGTAAATAACTTAGCAGCTTTAATTTATATAAGGTGTTATTTGCCAAAGGGAATAAAGTCATCTTAATACTTCACTTCCTTTATCCACCTAGCAAAGTATGGATAACTAGAGTATTTGCTTATTCGGCGCCACTCATCGCGTAGCTTAACTTATTTTTGCCTAACCACGGATTTCTAAAGGTTCATCTCCTTTCTTAAATCAAAGATCCGATCCTCCTTTTAACGTTTTCTGTTAATTTCGCGGAGCTCCTCAATTATAACGTAATCACACCTAAATCCGGAAGGCTTAATAAAAGTGCGCCGAATCTTCTTCCCCATAGCTTCCCTCCGCTATTAGTTCGATATTAGCTATTAGTCGTTTACCCGCTTTAAGGCAACTGCCTCATTTAGGCAACGGATCAACTCTTTAAAATAGGATCGTAAAAATAAAAAAAGGAAAAAAATCATAGCGTTAACGTGTTTATCTTTAAAATAAAAAGCTGATTCTTTAAAGCGGATAAATTAATCATTTTAGGGAAGTCGCTGTGGAACCTATGGTTGCTTAATTGCACTAAACCGTACTTAAACCCTTTTAAAGACCAATTTTAGATTATATAAGCGCATACCAGCCATCTTAAATCCCATCATTAGGTTATATATAATAAACCCTTTATAATAAATTCGATTTAAATCGCGGATAAAATTAGATTTTATATAAGTGATTTCGTTCGCACGAATAGATTCGAGGTAAACCTATTATTATTCGGTTTTTATCGGCCTAAACACAGTTAAATCTAACGGCTAAAAATAATCGGTTATTTATAAAAGGAGGAAAAATAGCATAATATCGTATCGCAAAAAATACTTAATATAATTAAAGCTAATATAGCCACTAAAATTATCTAATATAAACATACGCTAAATTCGTTCTTTTCCTAGGAAACGCCGCATGCCACCTTTATTAGCTAGCGTACTAATTCTCTTATCGGGAGTTACGCCAAAATAATTCACACTAAACCACTCTTATAAAATCATTTATTTACCGGATAAAAGATTAATAAATTATTAAAAAATAAAGGATTTAATAAAGCTATGCTTATTAAAATACTTTAAATAATCCAATTATTTAGCCGCGTTGGAAAACCCATAATTAGCGCGGGTAAAGGCTATATCCCCGGGAAATAAGTCTTCAGGAAAATCACCCTAAGCGGCGTAAGGCCAAATCTAAAAAATAACAAAAGGAGGAATAACCTTACCTAGGGCTAAACCCCCTCCCATAATAATGGCTAATTCCCTATTATTAAAATCGCAAATAAAAAAGCGCTTTTAATGGCCAGTTTCTTTAATTACCATAATTATAGTATTGCCTTTAACGCAGCCAAGGCGAATGCTAATCTTATCGGAATTCCAGTTATCTACGATTTATATCTTAAATTTATCGATCGTAGCTAAGCGGAGCTTAAAATATAAGGAAATATATTATAATTGCTCCTATATAATACTCCGTTTAACATCGTATAAAACGGTCTTCATCTTCTTTATCTCCGGCCGATCTTTCCACCACTTATCCATCTAACTATTAGATATAAGCTTCCTTAAAAATGTCTTCTTAGCGAATATCTCGTTAATCATCCCACGGCAATCATTCTTTAAAACCGGGGTATTAGCGCGTTAAAGCAACACGATATATATATTAATAAATCGATCCTCTAACTTAGTTAATAAAAAACAAGGGCCACGCGGTTTATAAAAAACCTTATCGCGTAAGCTTTTTAAATACCTTCCTATAGCTAATTTTAACGCGTTAAATCGAGCGGCTAACTAACGAATAAAATAGGGTAACGCGTTATATGCAATTAACGGGATTATAAATAGCGTAGGCCTAAGTTTATGGTATATTATACGCGTAAAACTCCATTTAGCAGCTATAAGCCCTTTAGGATTAAGATTAGCCTATATAGCCATTAAAAACGCGTTTTCGTAAACACCAATTAATAATTCACGGTTATATAAAAAAATAAATTTCCCACTAAACGCGCTATTATTACTATAAGGAACGCTAACAAAACGCAGGTTTGCTGTCCCGTCAATTATGGTGGTGTCCCGTAATTAATGTGCCCTCTACTTGTAGAGGGGCCGCAAAAGGAACGACGCTTGGACCCTCTAGTAGTAGTATGGGGAAATATTACCCCATGTCACGTCCCCAGCTTTCTCTTCCACTTGACGTGCCCAAGCCATCCAATAGCGAGTACAGCATATCCCCCATATGCAGAATCATGATCCCAACCAATCGCGGTAAAGGACCTTGAGGACCCTTAGAACTTGCTCTCAATCCCGATGGTAGTTTTGACAGTCTTTTTTGGCCCATCTTCTCGTCTCTTTTGAGTCAAAGCACCATTATATGTAATCAGTCCTTTTTACCTTTTCCCCCGCTCTCCAGTCCTGAATAGCTGTCTTGAAGCTGAGTCGACATGGCAGACTGCTGTATTATTTACTCCAGGCCCGGGTTTAGTGCTTGCGGCTTAGTGTGGCTTAGCGTAGTTAGCCGAGAATTCAATTTTTCCTGTGCGCGCTAATCCCGTTCAGCCTTACGAGGGGATCAGAGTACTTTCATTCTTTCTATTCTCTCAAGCAAGGTCAAGAGTCCTATTTGCAAGAATACCCTAAGATTCAGGTCTCTTCTCGAGATTCATACTGGGAATCGAAAGCTGAAGTTGTTCCTGCGCACTACGCTAAAACGAGACCTTGGCGGCTTTCTTGTATCGGCCGAGATATCGATAACCTAGCTTTCATTCGAGGCTCCCACGGCATCAGAACCTGCGGCTCATCATGGCTGAGAAGGCAACCATCTCGGTGCTCTGCTCTGGAAATGGCTCCAACTTGCAAGCCTTGATTGACAACTGCGCAAGCGGTGTCATACCGGGACAGATCATCAAAGTCACCGTGGACAAGAAGGACGCCTATGCTGTGAAGCGGGCCGAGGCTGCGGGTATCCCAACCGACTACTTCAACAAGGTCAATCAGAAATTTGTCGCCGCGGGAGAAAAGGACCCTGAGAAAGTAAAAGAGGGACGTTCCAGGTACGATGCCGCGCTAGCCGAGAGGATACTCAAGGACAAGCCGGAGCTCGTCGTCCTGGCGGGCTTCATGCACGTCTTCAGCGCAAGCTTCCTGCGACCCTTGGCAGAGGCCGGTGTTGACATTATCAATCTTCATCCGTAAGTTATCCTCCATCCGTATAGGCGGGGAGTGGTGGCTAATCCATCACGTTGAAGTGCCAAGCCTGGCTGCTACGATGGTGCTGGGGCCATCAAGAGAGCCTATGCCGACTTTCAGGCTGGCGTGCTTCCGAACAACACAACTGGAATCATGGTCCACCATGTTATCGAGCAGGTAGACCGAGGTTCCCCCATCCTGGTGAGAGACGTCGTCATTGAAGCCGGTGAGAGTCTGGAGCAGCTTGAGGCCAAGATGCACGGAGTCGAGCATGAGTTGATTGTGGAGGCTACTGCCATCAAGGCAAAGGAGGCTATTGCCAAGAGAGCGTCTTCATGAGATATCCCAGATTCCCCAATCGTGAATGAACAAATAAGATCTTAGATACCCCAAGACCCAGGCACAAACTGCTCGATATGCCAGTTCACTTTGACCAACATACCGTTCCAAAACGCTGAGGATTAAAACAAATTCCACGGCAATACGTGTAGTTGTACTTTCATGCTTTCTATTTCCAGAGTATGACTTGGTAAGTCCGTAGTGGTATGTACATTCAGGAGGATGAAACAGTCTGGACAGACAAGCTTTCAACTTTGCGCGTGATTGTTTCTCTGTCTAAAGCGATAGCACAACATTTGGAAGGCAGTGTGGATAGGTAGTGCAAAGCTAGGTACGGTTACAGCTTCCGAGGCCAGGTATAATCAATCAATCCCATGACGGAAAATGGCTCACCTGACTTCTCAACACTAGAGGCAATAATGTCTTGTAGTATCCATGCCGTAAAGTGGCGAGGTGAGGCATTTGCAGCAGGATAACCATTGTTGGAAGACAAACGGTATTACTTTAGCTAATTATGTTCATCATCTTACTGTAGGTATATCGCATGTACTTTAGGATTCTTATTAGCCCCGGACATTAGCGCGAGGCACAACCCCAAGGCAGAAACGGGAGGCAGATCAGTTGACGGTTATTCCCGATTGAGACCACCGAATTAGGACGTGCAGCTCCGAATTGATCATACTAATCGACCCACCCTCGAACCTCCAAATGCTGGAACTTGGAAGTACTCTTTTCACGCAGTAATCTTTTTTTTTTTTTTTTGTGCTCTCTTTGCGAAACCCAATCAGCCCAAACAATTAATTCACAGGATATTGGAGTCTGATTCTGACTTCTTTGTTTGTTTGTTTGTCGTTTGCCCGGGCCGACTCGTTTTTACCATCACCGAGTTAAAACCTTCTTTTTGTTCGAGGTCACTGTATGTATCACGCGATTTGATCTTATTCAGTCCGGGTCTTTTGGCCACTTGGACTTGCCTCATCGCCAACATCTACCTAAATTGCCTTTCGTTCTTGAATTATCCTCTGCATGTGTTCCTGTAATAGGGGGGGAAACAACAACAACAATCACTAATTCTGCTAACCAGACAACGCTACTCATCGTCCGCCCAAATCTTTGCTGATACCTATAAAAAACCGCCAACTCAAGAGAAGCATACTACAGTCATCCTGACCACTGAATTCATGGTTTGCTGCAAGTTTTCAGGACTATATCGCTCTGGGCCACGCAGTTTATCACCTCGGATCACGCCAACCATGGATCAAGAGCCGCCACCACCATACTCTCCGTCTTCACCTAGCTCTGCCTCTCAGCCCCCATCACAAATTAACCTCTTGGCCTCATCTATTCGTTCCCAGCTCGCAGATCTTCCGTATCAGTTGCGACAGACTCGGCAAGCGCATAATGAACAGCAGATCGAGCTCGACATTCGCATCTTGGAACACGTGAGGCCCACCATCGAGACATTTATCAATGAGCTGAGCCAAATAAACCCTGCGCCATCGCAGGCCAGCTTGGCGCTGCTTCCCAGAGTTGCGGTTCCCGCCGACGCTGAACTGAGCGAGTTTGAGGAAATGCTCAAGCGTGGAGAGGTTGGCAGGGTCGTCCGACTTGACATACAGCGAGACCTGAAAGGGGCTGGCGACATGAAAACCACTACTGACCCATCCTTGATGATCGCGGATAAATCAACAGAGCGATATGCTTCACACGGAGGTTCCTGGGAGCGTCCAGCTGCAGCGGGCTCTCCTCACAGCACACTGTGGTGGTCAGATGAGGATTTCGCCAAACGACTCGTGGTCCATCTATCAGAAGAGAGCACACCCACACCCACACCCAGTGCCACACCCTCGTCCACAAAGTCAATGAGCCCAGTTTTAACAGCACAAACACCATCTCCCAGAAGTATGGTCCAACGATTCTGGGGTCTTCGCCGGCAGTCAAGATCACAGTCACAGTCACCGACCACAGTTTACTCGCATACCCCAGACGGACTCAATCAAGTGATCAGCGCGGCTGGGACGAACGAGACTCCGCCAAACAACATTCGCATGCCGGTAATGAAGTTTGTTGCTCGGAAAGTAACCTTCCGACATGAGAATGATTTCGGAATATTCGAGAGCACTAGTGGATGGGCGATAGTGGCCACAGTACAGTTGTAGACACAGGTACAAGAGGCGTTAGCCTACGCAATATACGTTCGAGCATTTTGGTTCGATGACTGCTCATCACAGAAACTTTTAGGTTCTTCCGTGTCGACGGTCCTGATTGAAGTATTTGGGTATGGAACATCATCAATCATCATCGGTAGTCTGCTTGAGTCGGTGGCCATCATTCAGCCGGAACTGGGATAGGCCTCTGCTCCACCAGAATGTATGTAATATCTGCCATACAGAGCAGGTAATGATAGCTACCTAGAACCAAATAATAAGGCTAGTTGCTATGGCACTTGGATTACAAGGCTCGCTGTTACCCCTTAGGCATACGTGGTTTTTTATAGTCGAGAAGACCATGGAACCTCGGTGGACGAAACGAAACTGCTTCTCAAACTAGTTTTACCAAAAATCATTCATGGCTCTTGTGTAGAATGAATTCGATAGATCCAAGAATATTCATGTATCAACAAGGACAGTTATGACGGAAAACAAGCAGTTTCGTTACATGGATAAATATATGAATCTGGTTGTCTTTAAGCGTAGATCTTTGAACCCAAAGCTCTTAATCACTTCCATGCGGCCGCAAGAGCCCTAAATCAATATCTCCATTCTCGTCAAGGTATTCTACATCCTCTCCATCGACGTTCGCAAGGATGGGAACATCCTCCCCACCGGAGAGAGCACTCGCTCCTACGACGAACCTTGTAGACGACGGCAATGACGACTCGATATCGCTTCTTCGAGTTTCATCACGACCTGTCTTGGCTCCGTCTGTCGCCCCGTTGCCGAGGGCCACCCACAGAGCACTCCCCACCACCAGAGCACAGCCCGCGACGCTGACCCAGCCCATGACTTGTCCAAAGATGAAGCGATCAAAAAAGGCAGCGAATAGCACATGCGTGTAGATCATGGCCGTGGCCCGATTGCTCTTCTCTTTCGACAAACCGGTCGCGAGAAAAAACTGTGTGCCAAAGCCGGCCAGGCCAACGGCCAGCAAGAGTCCGCACTGCCGGGCCCCGGACGGCAGGGCGAACCGCAGCCCGCCCTGGCCTTGGGCGTCTTGTCCGTAGCCAAGCAACGGCGCCACGGCCAGCGTCAGGATGGATACAACAGAGCAAAAGAGACTAAAGTAGTTCACGCTGATGAGCGGATGGGCGCGCGGCCCGATACATCGGAGTGATGCAATGGCCACGGCGCCGCCCACAACCCCCAGCAGGCCCATGCCTACACTACTCAGACGTTCGGCCACGGTCGGGACATAGTCCAGGCCCTTGCGGATCACGTACATGGTCATGGTACTGTTATTATTGTCGTTGTTGTTGTTGTTCACGAAAGAAGAAGTCGCATCGGTCGCCGGAGCTTCAGGAGGTGAGGATAACAACGACATGGGACGTGTGACCAGGACCACACCGCCCAGCGCCAGGTAACTACCGAGCTGCTCGCGCCTGGTAAAGGGTTCCTTGAGAAAGATTCGACACAGATAGCCAGCAAGATTGGGAGACAGGAAACTAATGACGGTAGCCTCGGCAAGGGGGAGATAGATGATGGAGTACCACATGCCGTAGAGGCCGACAAAGCCGGAAAACGCCCTGAGGACAAGGAGCGGGCGGGTTTCCCGGGGTCCCCAAGGCGCGGACCGGACAGGGCGGTACCACATATAGGCAAAAGTTATCAGGACAGTGGCCGTCATGCGGGCGCAGAGAATCTGCATTGGGTGGAGGTCGTCCTCGATTTCGAGCAAGCGTGTTGACAGATTCATGTTGGCGGCGAAGAACTGTGACAGGATGATGAGGAATGGCCCACCATTCTGCTGCCACTGTGAGGAGAAGAACGAATGAATCTTCTCCTTTAGATTCTTTCTCACAGGGCCGGGCCTTGAATGGTGGGATGGTGAGGGTTCTCTCGGTGAACCCGTGGGCGTAGGTTGTCCATCGTAGGAGAAGGAGTTGAGGGAGTCCTGTCGACAGTCACTGACGGCTGCAGCCCCACGTTCTGTGGTATCCCCTTTTGTTATTTTATTGACATGAAGATCCATAACAGTGTCTCCGTTTTCCTGGGCTCTGTGTTTCGCGGAGGAAGTCTCGGACGCTGAAAGAGGAGATGGCATGATAACTCAGGGCCATTACAGTTCAAGTTTCTGTAGCTAATTACAGAGAAATGATTCTATGAACGTGTACAAACAACAGGATTGGTTTATTGGTTCTCTATAATGAGTTGGATGCTGGTGACAGGATCGCTGTCTTTCAACAGGATACCAAAGGCAAAACAAGAATGTGATTTTGGATGACTTAGTGGTGGCTAGAACTGAACAGCAAAATCAGAACAGCGAAATGAAGCAGCCGGCAATGGAATCGAGTCGAGAAGTGTTCAACACTAGCAGAGGCGGGAGTATGTTTCTGGTTTCTTGATGCGGCCCAAACCCATCAACCAGATTGGACGAGCTGCAGACACCTTCGATTGTGACCAATGATCGGCGACATTTGGGCTCTTTCTGAACGAAACCTGCAGGACAGCATCATGGATTAAGGCCCAAATGGTTCGCAACATACAGTAATCGGAGTATACATTAGCTCTCATTGGTCAGTATTACAGTCTCTGCGCAACCTTCTACACATGCCCCGATACCGCACCGCTTTTGCCGAACTCCAACGAATGGGAATATAACCCCATTGGGCATAACCGAACATTAGAGATAGTCAAAAGTCAAATTGGCCCTTCGAGACGGTTGCAGCCCGGGAATTGCAACTCTTTGGTCCGGAAATAATGTATCCTCTGTCAAGGCCGTCATTTCTGCCTTCATGGACTTTCTTGAATGTACTGGTATAAATCTGTACATGACACAGAATGCAATGGGTACAGTAGATTCTGAGTGATTGGCTCTTTCTAGGGGTCGGATCAGACGAACATACGTTACTTTGGAATTGTGCTTTTGTAGCATTTATTTCATTTGGATAATGATAAGTCATGGACCGCATTGTGACCAAACGACCTTATTTATATCGCCGTGCCGTGGAAACAGTAAGAATGACCTATAAATTCTAGAGTTGACTTCCGAAAACTCTTGCCAACTTCGGATCTTTCACGTGATTTCCGAGTTCCTTCGCCTTCCTTCCGGATGAAGCTGAAGATTCGGCGCAAAAGTAGTGACAGGAGGCTGATTCGGCTTCGAGGAAGGCGTATGTAGCCAATACGAAGGCAGCACTTGACTCCAGCGTGGCCTAAGGATAAGCTGCTGACCACGAATGAACAGCTCAACAAGAATGGCAAGTACCAGCCCGTGAGTGGCCCATTGCCAACTTGTTGCGATGTGTTGACCTGTTTTATGCCGTGGATGGGATTTGGTCATCCCAAGAAATGCAATGCGCAACAAGGGGTTCGGCGACGACAGATGCCATAGAACAGATCGAGTCGGCTCTGCATGATACTGTGAGGATACGCACAGGACTGCGCTCATACTACCCGTTCTTGTGTAATAGGTCTTTTTTGGTGATTCAGATTTTGTTCCGTCTCCGAATCGCGGTTTGTTTGTTGCAACGAGTGCCTCAGGTACCTCAATCTAGCCGACCTTTCTCTTCTTGGTTTGCTGGCTGGCCTCGAGGATATCCTCGTCGTCGTCGATATCGTCGAATAGTTCCTCCTCGTCGGCAGCCGCCCGCTTCTTGTTTGAGCCGGCTGCACCACTACTGCCGCCGCCAATGCCTGTAGCACCATCGTCCTTGCCTTGGTTCTGCAGCACAGCGTCGTCGTCGCCGCCAAAGGTTTTGCGCATCTTGGTGATCTCTTTACGCTTCTCAAACATGGAGCGAATCCTACCGAGGTATTCGGGCTGGCGGCGTAGAGAGAATTCAAAGTCGTCAAACTTCAGCTTCTGACGGCCAGCGACGCTAGCATGCCGACTCGCCTCAAAGCAGATCCCCTCCAGAAACTCGGTCATGATCTCGTCCATCACACGTACTGTCTCGGGGAGGGGGTTCGCGACGTCGCCGTAAGCGTACATCAAGGCAGCAACTGCGCAAACGTGTCAGTAGGTGTTTTACAGCTGAGTGGTTCATTGCCGCTGTTGCGAAACCAGTTTAGTCTTACGATCTTTGGCAGGAAACGTCTCCTTGCCCACATTCTTGCCGGCGCGTGCACGAGGTTCCATGACGATAAATAGGTAGGTTCGGTTGGCGCAAGTAGGTACGCTGTTTGGACTGGGATTTGTGAGGATGCCACGGAGACTGCAGAGCCGCAAGCTACCTATGTAGGTAATTCCGACTTCAGTCGATCGCGAGGCTGAAGGCAAGGGACAGCTTGGGAGTGCATGGGTTGATGGTGTTTGGAGTTTCTTTGCTTTTTCTCCCCTGGGTTATGACGGAAGAAGGTCTACCTAGGTTAGCGCTGGAAGCCACAATTGGCAGCGTTTACAGTGGTCAGCCCGCCCGGGAGCTGGTTGGGGAAGGCGCGGTTGGTACCTGGGATCCTACATTGATTAGTGGGGGTTCAGCCCAGGTGGCACTTCCAATCACAGGCGTTCCTTTCGCCAGCTGGCCCCTAAAGGCCGAGTGAAGCTCCGCCATCTTTCTCGTTGTCAAGAGCTCAACCATCGATGTCATCCAAGAAGCTGTGATATCGACAACGACGACGCGTTAACGATCAGCTGCACGCCCTCACCATCCTCTACCAAATCGCACACTCGAGAAATCTATACAAGATGGTACGCGCGTTGCTACAGCGCCTCTTATGCGCCATGCCCAGCTAACCAAGATTCGATAGACTGCGCTCTTTCACTTTCAGTCTCTGCTTCTCGTCATTCTTCTGTCCATCTGCACGAGCACTTATTTACACGGAATGTTCCCGACGTTCATCAACAATCACAAACAAGGGTAAGCTTCAGGGCCACGGTTTCTGGGTTTGGTTGACAGAATCACAAGCTGATGTTGGTATGCGACGATAGCTTCATGGGTATGGTCTGGAAGGCAGCGAGGATAGGCGACAGGCTAAGTCCATACATGAGTCTATGTTGTGTTTTCATGGCGGTACGTGCCAAGAGCTTTGAATGCGACCAAGCATACGAAACCCATGACAGTCCGGCGCTGACATCTCCCCTCCCAGGTTTCCATGTTGATTGGCAGCTAGAAGGGGAAAACATACGGATACACGGCGCAATCATGATTTGGGAAAAGGATCTGAGCGGTTATGCTTGCGGTTTATGGCGTACGGAGCGACACGTATTGACAAGAGTAATGGAATGAAGTGAAACAGAGAGCACACACAGCATCCGGCCAAACAGACCTATCTGGCACAACAAGAATGTCGCCCAGGCGAAACCATATCTCCATGCGCCAGGGAAGCCACGACGACGTTGTTGCCATGCGAGACGTCACACAGATTTGCCCGACTTCCATCCGGGGCTGACCTCCAACGTCGTACGATGCCGTTTGTTGCGGAGCTCCGAAATGTGAGTTTCCAAAATCGCATACAAGCTTCAGCCATCACAAGCGAATTGCGCGGGCCGTCTAGCGGATGCCTAACATGTCTATTATGCAGGGGGACTTGTCTAAGATCGTAATGTACACTCGAGATATCTGAAAGTACATTGTTGTTTACTTGGTCGCCCTTGGTTCGGCTCGGAGATTACTGCTTGCCCCAGGGCTAGAAAGACATTCCCAGGCATCATGGGTAGCAATTGTCTACTCTGGGGGTAGCGTATCAGGAAACGAGGCTGCAATCGAGTCTATGACTGTCTGGTTGGCGTCTGTCCATGATGACGTGACTACCACAGTGACATTCCTATCTGCTGATTCCGGCTGCTCATACTCTCAATGACTGAGATGGTGTAATGTTCCGCCTTTGTCAGCATTTCTCCTAGACTGCACGATCGTCGTGCAGGCTTATACGTGCATGCATGGAGTAGCAAGTGCCCATACTGAATTGTTTTTCAAACGGTGCGGCGCATGCAGGGAAGCCCCTTTATTCAATATTGACATTGCATATGCTCGACGGATATATACGCATCAGGGACCGACCGGAGCTGAATACATGCTCTTCCACACTGACACGAACAAAAAGTCAGAGCCTGACCACCATGAGCGTGTGATACTACAGGGGATTTCTGACGCGAGATGGCCGGATGCGACATGTCCTAGAACGATCTACCTGCCTGCCTTGCCTGCTGTCTGTGCTGAAATGAGAGAGGAAGAGACATAAAGGTCACGGTTGCTGATCCCCGTTACCCGACATGCCCTGGTGCTGGTTCTGGTGCTCGTGCTGGTGCTTCCCGGATCTGGCGCACGGATTATATGTAGGCCAATTCATTCCCGTCTAGTGTGTCCTTGAAGACGGAGATTCCGCCCATCATGGACTGTATTCAACGTTAGTGTACATGGTAGGTGGTCAAGTATCGTCGCGTCATATTAAGTAGTACTTCTGCTGCTGCTTGTTCCAAGTTTCGTTGTTGGAACGGACCCCATAGAAGCAAGGACCGTTTTGCGTCCGTCCTTCGTTCGGGTCCTGCCGCGCGATGTGGTGAGCAGCCAGCGTCCATTTCCTTCCTCTGCCTCTTGTCTATTTTGGACACGCGAACGAGCCTCGGTCAGTCCTACAAGTGTGTATACATGAGATTTGGTGGTTATTTATGCACAAGATGCAACCACCTTGCAAATATTGCTAAATTCCAGGTCCTATTATCACAGCTGCAGTGAGTGGGTGGGTGGGTTGTCGGAATCCACCCTCTGTGCGGGTTTCAATGCAATAGATCGCAAGCAGCTCAAGGCGTGACAAGGCTGCCTGCGATGAAACGGGCAAGCTTATTTTCCTCGTCTTCTTTTTTGAGTCCGAGGAAAGTTTGTAGACCTTACCTAAGTAAAAAACCTCCGAGGGGCGGTCTCGTGGAAGAGTTCCAGAAGATCAGGCGAACATGTCCCTCGTCTGATCAGCAGAAAGTGAGCGTGTGCTGTAACGTCGTACAACGCACACGACCTGGCTGCATGATGAGCCGGGATACCGTGGAGATCCATTGGAGAAGGGGAGCCTGCGCCAACCAAACACACAATGCCTAGATGTGTGTGTTGTTTTGCGGTGTAGGCAATATGGCCACATTTTGGTCCGTTCTGTCGTCTGTTCAACATTGAATCACTTTGTGGGGTCGGATCCCGATGCAAGACTTTTGCCACACGACCTCGAAAAACATGCAAACATGTTGTTGACGTGGGATCGATGGATGACGCAGAAAGCGCAGCGGCTCTTCCGATGCAGAAGTAGTCTTGTTGAAGGGTTACAGCGCAAAGTACTGTTTAGATAACCAGCCCAATCGTAGGATGAGAATTGGTGCTTGCGAGAAAGAGGAGGGCCTTGGCGTTTTACATGGCAATTGTCGCAGGTCAAAATCCATCTCATGTGAGGCGCTGAGGCGCGAATTGTGATATAACACACGGGCGTTGCAGCAGGCGACTTAGACTCTCAAGTGATTCCCACATGGAGTGTAGTAGTAGTTGTTGTATGTAATTGCCACACGCAATCCCAAAAGCCTCGCCGAGACTAGAGATGAGTTTGTTTCCTTCCGTTGCAGCAGTTGCATAGTGTAGCTCGTGCCTCGCTCTCCAATAACGTACCTCTAGGTAAGCAATTTGTTTCGTGACTCCAGGCGTTTTAGTCGGGTGATTGGGTCCGAGTCATGGGGACTGACTGAGAGATGGAAATGGGCAAGGGGATGGAGTTGGCGAAAAAAAGAACTGGGTCCTCCGAAGATTGTAAGGAAGAATCTAAAAATTCCATGGAGCTTCTAGCTTCTGTAGCGGGTCTCCAAACATGGCAACCCTGGGGCTTCGTTGCGGTGTTGTCGTGTCGGCCCCCATGCTAGTCGGCAATGTGCGCCGATGTATCCGCAAGTACGTTGGGTACAAGTGGTGCTGGAAACTTGTGGTAGTGAATATTGCAAATCTCTCGGAATGTCATTTCGGAGCCGCTTTCGGCGCTGATGCAGGTTCGGCAAGATACTAATGGCGTCGAGATGCTCATTACGGTTCAATCCTTGGGAGCAGCCAAATTTCGAAGCGCGGAGGTAGACTTTTTGTCGCCTGAACCATGCATCTGCTCCCCTGATCACGAATCGGGCAGAGAGCGCTAGATTTCGGCTGGGGCGGTGGCCAGATGGAACAAACAACACAATATTGCTGTTATCATTTCTGTGCCATTTTGTAGCCCGAAGAGGCCGCTCTCGACGGCGAAGACGGCCTAGGCCATACAATTATCTTGGGAAGAAGAGATGTTTCGATGCATACACGGCAAGTCTGACTGTCGGCACGGCGGGCGTATGTATGGTGGTTCTGGTGGATACCTCATTACTGATGATGCATGGGCTCTCTCATGTACATTCGTATTTTCGAGGGTATCGTGCCAATATGGCTGGCATTGGATACTGCTCGTCGTAACGATTGCAAAAATTGTCCGTCAGTTATATCTCATCGCTTCTTGATCGTGAACCCGGCACGAACGTGCAGACAACAGGACAGCCACATCCTTGAACCTAGCTTCTTTCTCGAGAGGGAAGCGAGGGAACCTAGCCTCGCCCTGACTTTGTAGCTCCCACATTTTTTACCCCGTACGGATATATAAAAGTGTCAAAACAGCCTCGGATCAGAAACAATACCACGACTATTGCAGCCTCGTACCTAGGGTTTCCCAAGGGAGCATCCCGGCTTGACTCCATCCCTATCTACCTATTCAGTGAGCAGACACACGTGTGAGTGAACGAGACGAATAAAACAAATCAAGGATAATGGACCTAGGGGCTCCTGACTTGGTTCTGCAAGAGTATGCGTGGAAAGCATCAGTTTGATCAACTCGCGACAAGATGAGCAAACCGTCATCTGACAAGCAAGCTCAAGGTTGATGGTGAAGAACATGCATGAGCGCTATCGAAAACTTTTTGGCCATACGTACTAACCTAGGTTAGTGCGCTCAGGTAATGGTCACGGCCACGATCAGCCTACTCTTGTAACTACCAAGACATTACCACATTCATGTCGTTGAAAAGAAAGAAAAAGGAATCGGCGGTCCGCTAGCACAAGAGGGACAAGTAAGTATGTAAGTAGACTAGTATAGAATATACGAGGCTTCTCAAGCTCTCATGTTTGTCGCCAGGTTGTCAGCGGTGTGGTACAT